CTGCGCTATTACCGCCGTGCCGCGCTCCCGTTATTGTTATTGCAGCCGGCGACGGTGACGGAAGCAGTTGACCCGGCGCATCCGCCAGAATTAGCTGGCGCATTTAAAAGTGGCCCCGTTTAGACGTCTGGAGGCTCTCGTTTGCCGTTTTAACTTTGGCTTTTAGGGCTTTATCCTAGTAAGTGTGCCCGGACTTAGTATCCCTCTCCTCCCAAAAAAAAAACTCATTATACACACACAATAGGATGCACACAAATTCTATTCATAAAAAAATGGAACACTGCTTTTTCTATATTCAGTATTACCGAATTTATTTAGTATTAATTTTAACATACGTACAATAAATTGCACCAACGGCTAATTTTGGTCTTCCTTCAAGACCTAGACGGACTATTTTTTTCACGAGGTTTTGCCAAACGAAATCCTTATCGTATAACGACCACTGTTATGTAAACTTGCAGCTCGAACTACTATGGAGTCGTTTAATAGCGGCACACTGTTATTGTTAGAGGAATCCTCGCTGCTCCTCTAAGCCATGGATTTGCATGTCGAATCCAAACGTTTACCCTCTACCCTCGCTAGTTTAAATGACAAACAAATGAGTGTTTGCGTTGTTCCACCCTTGCTCAATGAGTTTTACCAACGCAATCTTAATTACATTGTGTTCGGGATGAAACGCGATATTTTGAATGCGTCTGCGGCGGGGCTGGTTCTCCAGACGTCTTCAATTGTCATTTAAATTTCTGGGTAACGAACTACGGGAAAAATAAATTTGCGAGGACAGGACTCGGTGGAATGAATCGTCACCGAGTTTTATCATCACCGGAAAAATGATACATTCACATGTGTTGTAGAAGCTTCGTGCAATGATTAAGTAAAAAACATGACAGACTTTTTTTTCTTATGGGTCTACATCTCGTCAACAACGATTCAAAGACGAAATATGTTGAAGCGCGCCTCCAAAAATCATTGCCTACTGATTTACTTTACTTTAAAAAGTGCTATTATTTGCTGCTATAGTCTGTTTGGAATTGAAAGAGAGTAATAAAACCCCGAGATAAGAACCGGCCATGGGCGTGGTAATATTTCGTTTCAGGTAATTATCGGGTAACACTAATGCTAACAGATAATGGGTGTACATTAGTATATTTTACTGGATACATCATAGGGCAGGAGCCAGTGTATTGTGACAGATCAATCCAGTCTTAGAGCTGAATATACGAAGACGTGCTAGTGCAGTAGAGTAAAATTCGACTTGTGTTTAGTGACTATTGTGCCAGTGGATATAATACTGTTTGGGTAAAATGTCGAGCTTATCAGATTACGTACCTGCTAAACGCGTGAAAAGATGTGCGATAATAATATTGAATAATTTTATTTGAATTACTAAAAACCCTCTTAACCCGGTTATGATGCTTAAAGTAGCCTCATGTTTTGAAATGCTGTTTTTATATTGTTTACTTATAAGAGAAATGGACCGAGAAATTGAAGCGGCATAGACAAAGACGGATTGTCGGGGATTAAATTTTTAATACCTGCTACAATTTAGTACAACCCGGTCACACAAAGTTTTTTTAAAAGTACACCTCATCTATACCGATAATACATAATATAAAAATATTGATTATAAGCACCAGTACTACATTTATTTACGATTTGCATAAATAATAAGCTTTTATTACTCTCTTTCATTTCTAAACAGACTATAGTGAGAAAAATGACTTAAAATCCTTCGCCTAAGCCATGTAAGCCCCCCTAAGAAAGACACTCCATCCAAATGGCACACCTTCATTTGCATACCACCAGAAGGCGCGCCGGCAACTCGTCGGCGCGCAGCTCTTGAGATAAGCGAGAGCGAGGGGTTTACGAGATTAAGACGCACCGTCAAAATATTACGCAATTTGCTTAAATGGAACCGGTGTTATTGTAAATTAAGTTAGAGCCGGGAGCAGGCAGTGGAACAAAAACAGCGCTTTCATAAATAGCAATTATAAACAAAACGGCGGCGTTTAGAGGGATAGTTTACAGCCGTAGTGCTGTAATTAAAGTGCGTTAATTGTAGCCGGCCGGATTTAGGGGCGACTGAGTGCTTTGCCTGCATGGCGCGAGGTATAATAGTTCCATTTCGGGTGAGTCCGCGACGAAGGTAACTTATTAAATTTGTCTTAAACGTCATTAATTACAGGTGAGTCTGAATCCTTACAGCTTTTCCCTCCGCGCGGTTAGTCGATATTAAGATTGAAGTGACTAAATGCGCCCAACTTTGTTTTGTTGTAATAGTTCACCATAAAACAGTTGAATTTTGTCAAAAAAATATGTTAAAATAGTTAAAAAAACGTCGAGTCACACTGCTGCTAGTTGTAGCTATATTCGTTAAGTTAAAAGCAGCCAAAGATCAAAGAGAATACGTAAAATATTCTGTTTTTGTTAATGCTGTTAATTGGCTATGAAAGAGGCCACTGAATGTGTATGTAGCGTGCGCTATGTTCGCTATGATAAACACGCGAAATAGATCTGGCTCTAGACAAGCGCTGTCTATATACAAAAAAACTGTTTTAAAGACATTTGAAAGTCACATAGCGCTATGTTATTCGTAGCTATGTTCGTTAGTTCGCTATACACGTTAAAAGCAACCACATAACGCCAAGCTAGCTGATCCTTATGTATTCTCTTTTTATATTAAAAATAATCATCATTGTTTTAAATGAACTAAGCCACCGAACGTGCATGATACGTGCGCTATGTTCGCAATGAGGAAAGCGCGAAATAGTTCTGCTTCTAGATAAGCGCTGTCTATGTACAAAAAGACAATTTTTCAAGAAATTTGAAATAGTCACAGGCAATGTTATTCATAGCTATGTTCGTTAGTTCGCTATACACGTTAAAAACAACCACAGAGCGCTAAGCTAGCTGTTGTTTTTGTGTATTAAAAACAATAATCGCTGTTTTAAATGAACAAGGCCGCTGAATGCGTATGGATACGTGCGCTATGTGCGATGATAAAGCACGCGAAATAAATTTGGTTCTGGATGAGCGCTATCTATATAGAAATAAAAGGAATTTGAAAAAGTCACATGCTATTTTATCCGTAGCTATGTTCGTTAGTTTGCTATACACGTTAAAAACAACAGAGCGCTAAGCTCTACGTATTCTCTTTGTATATTAAAAATAATCAACATTGTTTTAAATGAACTAGGCCACCGAATTTGTATGATAAGTGCGCTATGTTCGCAATGAGGAAAACGCGAAATAGATCTGCTTCTAGACGAACGCTGTCTATATACAAAAGGACAATTTTTAAAGAAATTTGAAATAGTCACAGGCTATGTTATCCGTAGCTATGTTCGTTAGTTCGCTATACACGTTAAATGCAGCCACAGCGTGCTAAGCTAGCTGAATTGTATGTATTAAAACAATCACCATTGTATACGATACGTGCGCTATGTTCATCAAAGTAGATTTGTTTCTATATGAGCGTTGTACAACAAATAGACTGTTTTGAAACAGATTTATCTCTACATACCTCAACTAGTCTGAATCAATGGTTCATAACAAGTCACCTTTTAGGAATGTTAAACATTCTGCTATCGAGTTTTTGAATGTGCACTAATTATAAAATGTATTTAATACATCTTTCATAATATCTAACTATTGGAATTGGAAATTGTTATCTTACCTAATTGATTTTATATTTTTTAGAGAAATGCCTTATACAACTAATTCTCTGGGTTGTGTTCGAGAAGCTCGAGCCCTGCAAAAAACACCCCTATTCCCTAATAAACGTATCCAGGTCCCCCCCCCCCCCGTCTAATACGGCTTAAACACCATATCGAAATTCCAAATCGGATGTAAGGCAGCTCACGGGAAATTGTTGCTTTGCCTCGCGCATTATGTACGTCAGTATCTCATCATTATTATTACGGTTCGCAGAACAAACTCTTAATTCCCAAAGGCAGTAGGGTGTCTTGGGATTACGTCCTCATCAAGGTGTAAAACAGTACGGCAGCCGCCTTAAGTGTGCAGTAAACAAGTTTAGAAATCTCCGCGCTGTAAGAATCTTCGACCTTTTACCAGTAATGAAGTACGTCCTCCATAGACGGGTTTTATGGGGAATATTCGCACGCCTTTGTACTTTAACGCGCACAGGGGCGGACCGAATTAATTATTATTGGTTCAGAAATGTGAATATCAAGAAATAATTAAATTTTCATATACTTTTCGTATTAAATTTGTTCTATACCAAACCGAAAATACATATTAAAACGAACTTATACACCATGTCGAATTTTCATGAGACGAAACCGATTGGAGCGTCGAATTTGGGATACCCTCATAAATATTTTCGCTAGTACGGCCCTAACCACGTCTGGCCCACTGAGATCTTTCATTAGGGACTTTAAGTAGATTAAAATTTTAGGTACTTTTCATCGGAACTGACCAAGTCCGCTGAACACATTAAGGGGGACCCTCCCGTGGTTTTCAAGGGTCAATTTAAAATTTTATGCCCTTTTAGTACCTTTTCTCGCGAGTAAACACGTTATTACAAAAGCGGATCGCAAAGTGGGTCAATTGCCTTGTAATGTGTTTGTTTTGCCATAAAGCAGCGTACGGACGGAGGCTAATGAAGTCTGCACTTACTCACTTGCTTATTCGTTCTCTTCTCTGATAAATTTGATCTAGAAGCGTGCCTACTCAACAATTTGATAAAAGGGAACTAGATTATCAACAGGCAGTTGCAACAAAATGACATTATTAGGAACTTCGATCCTTATTATAGTATTAGCATAACACGCTTGTTTGTTGGGTTGCATACTCAAAGCAAAATATAATTAAGCAGAGCAATAGCAGGATAGATTAGCATAGAAGTTTATTTAAATCTCATTATGTCATTGTCTTAATAAAACATAACCACTAGCCAATATCATTGACTGTTTCCAATGGATTATTGCATTTTTTTTTAAACTACGCTATTGGATGGATGCATTGAAATGTGCTGCAACTTAAGGCATCACTTTAATGTTTTAAATAAAATAGGATTACATAAAAAACTATAAATATATATATATGTACAATTTCTTACAACAAATTGGAGGCTAAATTACATTTCTAAGAACAAGAATAGTGACTTAATAAAACTTTGTTAATATCCACAATGACTAATTTACAAATGCGAACCCTTAACTGGAAAATGTTAACTCACAGCGGTCGGAGTTTGCTTCGCGAAATTCAAATCCTTCTCCGTATTCAGTTTCTCCGCGGCAATAAATTCCTCTACGGGGTTCGTATTGATGTTCTTCTCGAACTCCAATAAAGAAGGTGTCAATGAGGATTGGTTGCTGTTATTTTTCGTGCTACTTTCGTCGTGCCTTACATTGTTATCGTTTAAATCTGCGTCAGCCCCTTGTTTGTCTCTTATACTGAATTGCTCCAAGATCCTCATAAGACTAGAATGTTCAACTTTGCCGTCCTCTTGAGTAGGTAAATTCGATATAAATAACCTTTCCTGGGGTTCCGGTTCTAAAGTGGGTGAAGGTGGTGGAGTCACGCTTTTGGATTCCGTTCTTTGAACGAGTGGTTCGGCCAGCGCGTCCTTTGATCTCTTTAAAGCACTTTCAGCACCTTCCCTGTTGATTTTCTTCACCAAGGATTCTGATCTCCTCACTGGTGGTTTGGGTTTAACCTTTTCTAAGTCCTCTTCGGTAACTATCAGATTTTCTATATCAGCCATGGCGTCTTTGCTGTTTCTCTGAACCTTTCTAGGTCGGGGAAGACTAGCGTCTTTAGGATTGTAATGTTCTATGAGTCCTAGATCCCAGTCTTCTAATGCCCCAAAGGAATCGTCGCTCTCGACGTCTGCTGGTGCTTTGCGAGCTCTCAGTTTCTTTAGTTGCTGAGGAAGGAGAGATCCGAAACTTCTACACCTAGTTATGTAATTATCCAGTCTTCCTGTGGAGCCTGCCGCGGCTTTTTTACCTTCTATGGGCAGAGAGACCAAGGAATTGTTACTTTTTTCACCGTCGGTTTTGTCGATGTCATCGAAATGTGCTACAGTTAGTTTGAGCTCGTTGTAGTTTGGTAATGAAACAACAGACAAATTTTTCCTTCGTTTCTGTTCTTTGTTCGATTTTTTATCGCTGGATTTGACCGGACTTTGTTTCCCTTCTCTCTTACCATCGTTTTTCTTGTCATTGTTTTGATTGTCGTGATCGTGGTGATGGTGGGGATGGTGATGGTCCCTGTTATGATTACGTTGGTCTTCATCGCATAGAGGGCATTTGTAATTGATCGTTTTCTTCACGCAAATCGGTTCTTCAGCAGGCTTCTTCGTCTGGAAAGCTTGAAAACTGTTCTTGGCTACCGCCTCGATCTTTTCCCTGAAATTTTTCTTAGGCTTCCTGGGTGGAGGGGTAGGGGTACCGTTTTCCTTGCTGAAAATTATGGACAGTTGGGGATTCCTCAGGTGAATGTGCTCGTCCTTTTCGGGCACCTCGAGGTCCACTTCCGTCCAATCGGAGGATTTCGACAGAGGCTGGGTTCGGGTAATGTTGTTCGATTTTTCGTTCGGGTGAGCCGATTTGACATCGTATCTGAAAAAGGATACACGTTAGATATACAAAATAAACAACCATACATAAAAAAATTGGATCATTGAAATTTCAGGTAGTGCAATAACATTAAGAAATGCTCTGATAACTAAGCTTTGGCTTGATTTGGGGAAAATTCGAACATTAGACAATGAAAAGAAGTCCCTTGTTATAGAATTAAGTAACTGTCTTCACTGGACTTGCTGTTTCATTGTATTCTTTCAACCAGGAAAGAGGTAATGTGGTGCTATGGTTATTAACTGTAGGAGGTGCTGCTCCAATTAACGTTCACAACAGCACATAACAGAGAGAAACTTCGTTATCAAACGATTTTTGCTGAATAATTTTGTCCCTTGCGTAGTTATTTTTGTAGTTCGTTACTATTTCACATTTATTTTATTCTGCAAATTGTTGATTGCAATTTATGTGTTATTTATAAATTATGTAGTGGGAGCGGTGATTGAGAATGTATTACTGTACATTTCTTCAATTTAAAACGTAATTTGTTGACATTGTAAGTTATTCATGTTGGTTATTACAATTATATCTAAACAAACAAACCATGTTTTTCCCAAAATATTAAAATTCCATATATTAACTAAAGCTGGTGACTTAGGCTTACACCTCAGGGGAATATATTAATTTTGTTATACGCTTTTGTGGGTCCTAAGAGATTTACCATTCCAGTATACTGTAATCACTATAGATGCCTTATACATATTTTTATGATTCATACATCCCGTAATATTAATATCAAACAGTAAACCTCCTACAAACAGGACAAAAAAAAAATTGAAACCTTGGAAACTTGTTTCCGATAAATCCGCACATCCAGGCTACTGAATTCATCCATTTTTAGTTACGTTACTTTTCAGATATGCAAATTTTTCTTTTGACTGTATCTAATAGTAATTTCTAACAGGGAAAAAACAAAAATGGTGAAAACATTTTAGTTTCAACTAGAGAGGAGCTCGTTTTTCATTAAAAAAATGTTAAATATAGTGACATAGTATTGATTTATTTTGGCAAGCGCTGAAAATTGTAAACAACTGGTTGCCATATATGAGGATTGCGAAACCAGCAAGGGATCAATATATAATAATGTAATAAATCACCATACGTGGTTATTAACGATGGTATTTACATCATATATTACTATCATTATTGTTGTTTATGTCTGGTGTAAGGTGTAAGGTGTGCTATTTTCTCTTTTACGTAATATTGCGTTTGTTAGGTAAGAGGTAATGAGTAATTCGATAGAGAACTTTATAAATGAGAAAAATTATGAAAACTGTTTAATAAATAACAATGAATAACAGCCCTACGGGACAAAACGCGTTTCGAGGGTCGCTGAATCCGAATCCAGTGTTCGTTTGACGAAGTTAGCTCATGTTCAAAGTTAATCAAAGCTCAATTCTTGTTCTTTTTTAAGGTGATACAATTTTTGTCCCCGGATTCTGAAAGAGTGTTAAAACAAGTAACGCTAAAAACATTACATTAAATGAAAATAGTGACGAAGTTAAAAAGACATTAACGCTCTTCAAGGGCACATATGAAACGTTCCAACAATGAACCAATTTACTGAGTTTTCAAAAAAACGAAAGTACCCGTTCACACGACCAAAAGGTACTGGCCAGCCTTGAAAGTAACCTACCTGTCGGTCTGCTTGTGGTTCAGCTGAGGATCGGACTTCCACGAACTGGGACGCAACTGCAACAGAGAGAATTGTAACTGTAAATGCCATCTAGAGTACATTACTGTAATAATTAAATGCATCGACAGATACGTTCATGATACACATTAGAATAAGCGTAGCAGGAGTCGTGGGACGTAGGAACAAGTGAACGGGGCGCGCCCGCAAAGGTGAGAGTTAAATCTGTCTGGATCAACGGTAAAGGTGAACTGAAGTTAATAATTATTTTATTGGAGAATGTCAGAAACTTGGGCTCGTAAGCGCAAAAGCCTGTAGACATCTTTACTTGGACGTTTTCAGTATTCTACTGTAAACAGCATTTATTTCTTAATTTTCTAGTAAAAACTTCAAATTCAAAGGTGGTAAACAAGTGTTAACATACCAAATCTTGAACTGTCAACCAATCAAACCCTTCTTTGTAATACTACTATAACATCCGATAATTTCAACACCAACTATCGATTGAACCGTTGTACTTGTAACTATTATTGAGCATCTTTCTTTCAATATCGTTATAAAATATTCGAAAATTATGTACCAGTTTCTGAAATATAAAATTAAAAACTACGTTCTTCCTTTTCATGTTTACTTTGAAACTATCTAGTTATTTTTAAATATTAAAAACACTTAGAAAAATGTGTTGAGCTAAATAATTTAATTTAATAAAAACAAAACTGTACAATTTGAAATATTTGGAATAAATTAGTATAAAACAGCTCTTAGATCTAAACAACTGATTAAAAAAGTTGTTAACTGCTGATTTATAGCACTTGGTTTCGATGATTTCATAATTAATTTGTGATTTACTGCGAAAAAGACCTTGTAAGCATTTATCGGTGATAAAAAGAAATATCCAAGTCAGGTGAAGACATTGGGTGGAATCAGTCCTACAGGTAGAATCATAGTAGGCGTGCAAGTGGTTATATATAGGAATATAACCAACAAAACCGCTTCGCAACCGTCAAGTTCTATCTTACAAAATAGGAAATACTGAATCGAGAAAGTGTAAATCAACCTAATAAGCATCCAGTGGGCGTAAACGCCATTGAGTATTTAAAAAAAAACATTTCACAACGTTAAATGTGTCAGGTTCAATGGACTAAAAATGTTACCGTAGAAGGAAATGTTTAACGCAAATGAAATTTTATACTTATATTTTATCATTATTTGCCGCAGTGGTAATGAGAAAACAAAGGGAAACTGAAATCGAGTTGGCAGCGGTATTACACAAATTGCATTATGTTCCGTTGGAAATAGTGCAGGACTTAAATTAGATTTAAAGCTTCGGAGCAGGTTCGTATAAATCAGGCTTGTGCGTGTTTTTTTGTTCATTTCACGAGGGCTGATAATTCTAACGTATTTAATACGCTCATATTTTAGCAAAAGTACAAAAACGTATGCTCTAGAAAATGTCTATCTCCGATCACTGCGAGTTGGGAAGAAATGACTTTAAAATCCACGGTGGGTGGTGTTCGTCCTCTGCAACTGAGGGATATATCGAAGACTCCGCGTGGATATAAAAATCAATTTCAAAGAAGATTTTACATGAGAATTCTACGGTGACAGAAAGTGGTATAGCAGCCCATAGTGTTATTACGAAAAGTGCAGCAATTGTAGCATCATCAGAAGGGAACGACTGTCGTGCATTTATAACAATGTTACGAAATTAGACTAAAAGAATTGGAATCTAACAAATTACAGGTGGCCCACAGCCGGACCTGTCTATTATTACCACAACCATAATTAGAGCGACTGGAATTGAATCAGATATCTACAGGCTTATCTCTCCAAATCGATCAGAACAAATGCACAGCAATCACGCGTATAAAAAATTGTTTATAAAAATGAATAATCGCTAGTGTGAGTTGTAAGACAGTAAAAGTTGATTCAATGAAAGGAAAGGATATTTACATGTAGATAGATAATCGGTTTTGTAAGATTTATTACAATTTTCTAATTCAATAAAGCATGTTAGTTTATTGATCTCAACTGAATCCTAAACAATATTTAAAAGTACTACATAATCATAACTAGAAAGTGAATAAATAGATGTAATACACCTCTTCAAATCTCAAATACTGGGGGTAGGAGATGTCTTTTCAAAATCATAACTTCCTTATTTAGGATAGTATTAATCTCGTTTAATTGTAAGACAAATTCTGGTCAATTCTAACAGTATATCACTTTATACAATGTAAGTGGATTAACTTATTTATGCATTTTAGGAATTGTTTTTTCAAATGCACTATTAAGAGTGGACCTAATGGATATTTGAATATTAATAGAAATAAAATTATATATAATATATACAAAATTTTTAGAGAAAATGGAATTATGAAATGACTAGATTAATACGAATTATTATTTTTAACTACCCAATTTGCACAAACATATTTACCCTTTCAACTTAATCTGAAATGAATGGGTCTGGATTTTCCGGTATACTATTTTATTTCTGATATAAATTTCTAATTGCTAATAATTCCAGACACATCGAACGACGTTAACAACCTGTCTCTGATTAAAACACTTTTATACGTTCAATTAAACATAAAACGGACATCATTATATAAATAAAGACATTAATTCCCGGGTAACAGTCCACTTCATGCGGTTTTTATCGGGACTGCAATGTCTCGTAAAATGGAAAAAACGCCACGAACGCCTGTAAACAACTCGAACGGAATAGAATGCTCCAATTAAAGATTCCTACCAATGGCTGTACCGAAGGTGCTAAAAATCTTTTACAGTTCGTAAATGCTAATCTCTGATGTATCGACTCTTTTAACTGTAGTTTACGTCCGTGAAGAGTAACATCTGGGTACTGTCACCAGCAAAGAGGTTTTATGAGAAAATTGTCGCGATTTTATGCCAGACAGTTGGTCTTGAGAACTAATCGCCATGGCCACCTGCTTCAATAAAGGATGAAATAATATTTTCAGACGTTGCAAGAAGTAAATCATCCGAAAAATTGAAGAAATTTGGGGAGGTTCAGGTCTGGACGTCTTGGTGGCCATGACATTACTATTACCTATGCGGGAACGAAAATATCCAGAAATTCTTCTATTGGTGAGTACACAAAATGACATTTGTGACTTACACTGCTGATGATGCTGATAAAAAATGGATTGAATGCGCGTTTTGTGCACACGAGCCGTCGAAGAAGAACTCCATTCGCGAGAGGGCGAAGCATAACGGCATAATTTCGAAAAGTTCCTCGGAGTTAATCTTATTTCCAGACAGGCTCTCAGAGACCTCAAAGTTCATTAAAAAGCAGTAAACAAATATAAAGGCAAGTTTTACGTTCTCAGACATTTTACATTACGCTACTAACTTTATGTGGAACATCTTGCACTGCCGAATGCGGGACATTAAAAGAAACTTACCGGACGCCTAATGTGCAGCTGGAAAAATATAAAAGTTGGTTTATTCGGGGAATAAAATATGGAAGGAACGCAGGGGTTATTTCCTACTAAACAATGTAAAAGTTGCTCGGTGCCGAGAGTAAAGTTTTATATTTATTATTTTTTTACATGGGTAATTATGTTCTCGAGCTCTCCGTTTGTAAGGCAGGACGATTATCCTTTTTAGACGCCCCACTTTCAGATAATCCAAATGTATGATTGTCCTTCTAATTTCACAGAAATCCAAGTCTACAATTTTTATTTTATACTGTACTATGTACTCCAGTTCTTCTGTTTGCTTTTTTCCAGTACTTCTTCTTAATCATTTATTTCTTTGATCAATTACATTATGTCAATATTAGTGTTTTTGTGTTAATTATATTTAGGCATATCAATTTTAGTTTTTATTTTGGACATTTATTTATTTCTAGCTGTTTATTGATGGCAAAAAAATTTGAATTTGTTTGAATTACCGTAATATCTTTAGAACAAAGTGATAAATAAGATTGTGATGCAAAACTGTAACAATGGCAACGTGTACCTCTTAAGAATATTATCTTTGATCGTAGAACTTCATTTAATTAAATTTTTTAGAGAAAAATAGCTTATTAGTAGCTTTACAATAGACTAAACATTTCAGAGTTAATAAAAAGGTATAAATATGTTTTAAAAAATAAGAAAATGTTGTTGATACAACACTACTCATCCTTCATTTTTGCAAAACATTCATTATGACTGACTTTAATAAAAAAAAACAAAAATATGAAGATAATTCAATTCAACTTCTGAAGTTTTTCACAAACTTTTAAGGAAATCATTTTTTGTTTTGTTGACACGATAATGACAAAAGTGTTGATATATATCCTTGCTTTACATATCTAAATATTAATTCATATATTCCATCTTTGTTACAATTTGAATTTCCATTTACTATTGTTTTTTTTTTCTATTTTGCGTTTTACGAATTTTGCTATTCCTTCGTTATTTTCATTTTATTATACCTCTTCTGTATATAGTTAAAACTTAGGGAAATCAGAATTATAATATAGTAATACCTACTAAAATAAATTATTACTTGCAAATACAATTATTATTTTTATAAATCAGTTACACTTTCTTAAAATAAGTGGAAAGTATACGAAATTTGCTGTGTTCGTAACGAAGATCTGTGTTAAAATCGATTTATTTGTCGAGTTTAGTTTAAACAAACCTCTAATTTTAGCATTCTATTTAGAGAGGAATTTCTATACACTTCAACAACGTATGGGCTACGAAAATAATTAATAAGTCCGCAGAAGACAACTCTTTTTCATCTAAAAAAAAATCATCTCACATCGCCCCAGTTTACTAATTCCTACCTATAAAAAAATGCATTAAATAAAGAAATATCTAAAATCTGTCGCTGCTTGAGCTTTCACTTAACAAAAATTTAATATCGACTGACAGAAATAAGAATAGTTTTTTTTATAATCAGTGGTGAATCTTGCTTAAGCACTGTTAAATTATTCATATTGCAATTTCGGCCTAATTAGACCTCATCAGTGCAAATAGTACTGTTAACACTATTAGATGTATTTGTATTAAACATCTGGTAGCCGCTAAAGGACTGTTGTCCTAGTTTTTGTGCACTGGTTAAGATAAGTATATGATCAACAATATGCAGACAATGTGGTGGCTACCACAAATGTCTAATGTACTTTGTAGTTATGTGTTATGTATAATTCTTACACAAGCACACAATACTGGTTCTACAAAGGAAAATAAATCCTAGGAAATATTTTTATTTTTTAAATAAACGTATATGTAATTAAAAGAATGTATTTTTTATAGTAATAATGATAATCAGCATAGGTTTCTCTCGCATATACAGCAAATTTCATGTCGGTGCGACTATTTAAACGGTAAACAAATATAATTTTAAATAGCTTACATCATTCATTAATTTATAATGGGCTAGGTAACCTTGTCTGACGAATCATTACTTTTAACTGTTGTGCATTGTATTCTGTAAAGACCGATTACCCACACGAGATACTGATGTGAATAAAACATTTTTTTTCTGATAAAAACGTAATTAATTACATAGGATTACATGCAGCAGGTAAGCTCAGTATCCATTTTCTCGAATGGGATTCTAAATTTGAACTTTCTCATAAGAAAATAGTTTTGTACACAAATATACAAGTTTCCTTGACTCTAGGTATTTTTAATTTTAGATATTGCCTCAAAATTTCGAAATCGATAAACCTATTTTTCAGTCACCGTTTTTCCGAGAATGAAAGAAATTGTTCCAAATTCAACACGCGCTCTGTATGTAAATATACGTTGCGTGACAAACGCTGTTAAAATAAAACGATTTCCTTCAACGATTCAAATAAAAAGTGAGACCAAATCAACAACGAGAGCCCGGTCTATTCTTAGTTTTCTGTCACATGTTCTTAATTTAGCCGTTATGGTAGTTTCTTTTTTTGATTTCTAATGTCACAGCTATAATGGGAGCAAGAGTAAAACGTTTTGTGTATTTTTAAGACTACGTAATGCTGTGTGAAAGTAAGCATTAAAAATATACAAATTTAGTGCATATCTATTCGTCATTTAAGCTTACAAATGTACAGAAGTTGAGATGAGCTGTTTACTAAAATCATTCGATAGTTTCTGTAATCACGAAAACAATTTCCAAGGGCAGGTTTCATCTCTGGTAAGCATGGATTCACACAAAAATTAAAATTGTAAGAGGCTATGTCGAGGCACTTCCTGATGAATATCTTGGTTAAAAAGTATCTTAGACATATCTGTACCTTGAGGAATCACTGACCTTTGAAAATATACAAGGTGTACATACAAGGTAATGCAGTGTATTTCGTTTCTATACTCATAAAAATTTACATAAACATTTACAATGGCTTTTATACACAAAAAATGAAAGTGAAACAATTTCCTTTTACGATGTGTCAGTAATGTGAATTTATACTGACCTATTTTGACTCAACCAATCATATTAATTACATGATTACCCGGTATGGTGTTGGTGCGCGTGCGTGGACAACTCTGCTAGCAGTCTAGCAGACCACATGTTTGGATTCATTAGTGATGTAGTAATACAGCATAATATCTAAGAGAATAAATGAAGTATATTTTCACTAATAGTTTGATTATTATTGTAAATTAGATACCCATTTACAGAACTTATTTATTCCTCATAATTAAAGAGGCATAGGGTTTTCGAGAGTATAAAAACCAATTTGGTATAACCCACTTTTAAATGTAAACATTGAAGGACAAATACTTCATTAAAAATGTGTGTAAAATTAATAGTCCAATTAAGTGGAGTAGATTGAATAGAAAATTATAAAATTCTGCTTGTTATGATTTTTTAAATTTCTGAAATCATCCCTTGACTTCTAACCACCCTAACTCTGTTAATTTTAATAGTACAAGAAAAAGGCAATATACCGTTTTTATGTAGAATTTTATGCTCCACAACTTTTATGAGAAATTTTTTGAGTTATCTTGAAAAACCTCTTTATTTTATCTTTTTTCGCCCTTGGCCAGGGGTTGAAAAAGAAATTACTGTTACTTATTGTTATTATATACTTCAAACTAACTTATATTAAAAATTCAGGCAAGTTCAGGCATTAATAAATCTTTTTAATTTTATTCTTAAAAGTACTATTAATTTCGCTGTTTCTTAGACAAATTATGCTGATTTTTTTAAAATTCTTTTACCCCTTTTATTTTTTTGAGATGAGTATCTTCATTTGTTCAAAAGGTATTTAGAAATACAACACTTTTTAAAAATTTTAAAGAATAAATATTTATAATTTGGAAAATAACATGTCTGCGTGATTATTTTTTCATAAAATTATAAAATATATATTTTGTGGGCCTATATACAGAACAATATAAAAACTGCCTGTCTAAATATTCAAGATTTGTTTTGAAAGCGAAAACAAATTTTTTCAAATATAAACTAAATACATTTTGTTTATTTTTGTTATACGTGCCGATATTTTCACCTCTCAAAGTGACACTAGAGGAAAAACAAAAGTTTACAAAAAGGAATCGTTGCTTAGTTACCGAAAATTTTATGAAAATATTATAGTTCTAATTTGAAATCATTGCGTTTATGAACAATACAGAATACACCCAAAAGAAAATATAAAAGTTATTCCGACCACGACCATGATTCATATTTTTTAATAAACATTGATATACAAAGTCCGAGAAACATACACCCTAGCTTATTAGCTAATTATAGAGGTTAACACAAGTCACTGATACGAGAATGCTCATTTATTTTGCGGTCGTCTGGAGATTAGGAACCGTCCAGCGTTTGGCAAAGGAAAATTTAAAAATACTTACAAGTGACATTAAACTTGAGATAGATAGAATTTTCTCAGTATCCGAGAAACAAAAGATTAATCAACTCTGAATCATACGTGCTTAATCAATGAATGATAAACCTAGTATGTGTTTGAATAAACAATTTCTAACAGTGGCACACGAAGCCATTAGTGACTTAGTTTATTTGTCATACATTTATCAAACATAATCTACCTCTCTCTCTATTCTCACGACGATATTTTTTTAGCGATTGTTTTTCACAGACGCTTCAGTGGTTATCAAAGACAATGTAACAATCCTTGCATCCGTTTTCACGATTTCTTGTCCTCTAAATCAATGACAACCTATAAAGTTTGTCATACAAAGGCCGACAAGTTTCACACTGTGATAATCCCCCTTCTGATACAGAATGTGAAACCAGGATTTGCACAGGGAGTACTTGTATAATAATACATGTATTAATTTTTCAAATAACAGGTGTGGTTGGAAATTACAAAACAATTCGCAGTCTTTTGTCCCGAGTTCTTTGTTGAAGAACATTTTATAGATACGCAAAATTACACACCGATGGGAAAAATATATATACGCATTTAAATAAGGTGTAAATAGTTCGTCAAGGTCAAGAAATGGAATGGGACTGTTCTACCATCACACGCGAACTATGTAATTCCAAACGGTAGCAATATGTTACATGGACTTCGGATATGACGCGGATAGTTTTGACGGCAACTCCTTATAAGTACAAAATTCGAAGAAATGGCGGACTACTTATACATTCGATCTTAAACAAGGCATTGCTGCCCACAATGCCATAAATGTGAGGTCACGCACACTGTCGTTCGGCTAATTATTGTAATTTATTTATAATGACACTTGTCCAAAATGATAAATAAGTGGAATTACAGTAGGACGGAGTTTAATGTTTATCTTCCATATATAAACATTTATGGTGGTTAAATATCGTTGATAATATGTATCGATAAAAAAGGTATGCACCAAACTATTTTGGAATAACTGCAAGTGATACAGAAAGAACCCAAACGAAGTATTGCAATTATTTTCTATTTCATAAAATTGGGATATTGGCGAAAGGATAAATAATAATTGTGAATCTCCTCAGGTCTGTAATTTTGGTACAGTTAAATCTTAGTTAACGATTAAAATAGAGAGAGTATACTGTATGAAATATATGAGTTGGTCACAATCTAACACGTGATTAGTGACAAAAGTACTAGTTTTACCTTTAACTCAACTGTTTAAAAAATTCGGCGTGTTTATGGTACTTTTTTATACGTTACAATAAATTTTCCCATTTCAAATGTCAGCGTCTGGGATATTGATATATGATCCTTAGAAGGTGGTTCCGATAAACAATATTTAAACGTCTGTATCTTAGTAGGTTCAGAGAAATAATAAAATTATATTGGATTATCTCTAACAACAAATCATTTTAGAGATATGCAATACGTATGCCTGTTTATAAAGTTAGGTTCCATAATATGTTTTCTCAATAGCTTTACCAATAAAAATATATAGCAAAGTTAAGACTATCTCAAGAATTTTTAACGAACTTTCTATTCTAATAATTTGTGTAACGAATTCAATTCAGTACTGAAACTTTTACTTCAGTATCTTTTTTTTTTCGTCAACTTCAGTTTTTCGCCACCTGCTGTTGCCTCCTCTTAAACGTTTTCAAGGTACTTCATTTACTTTCCCAAAAAAAAAGTTATTCAGTAAAATATCGTTTTTAAAAGTCTAATATAATATTTTTATTTCAGTGTTTCATAATGCAGCCTCATAGGACATCCACAATGGTTTGGTGATGAAAGAATGTTAGTGATAGCGACTATGAGTAACTAATCGGAGTTATGTTGATTGCCGTAATCGACTTGGTGACTAAATCCGTTGATACCCGTTTTGCTAGTGAATATACCAGGATATGGTCGAGATTTTGCGAGGGAGTTAGACACTGTTTGAAGTTCAATGGTGGGCTTTCTTTTCAATAGAATTTCTATACCTACGGTTTTTTTTTTGAAATTTCATAACATTTTGCTGGGTTCTGAGTAAATGGCGTAAACTCTTTGAGTGTACATAAAGATTACACAAAACTTTAATTGAACTGAAAAATGTTTATTATATTACATCTATAAAGATAAGTTTGTCGTAGCGTTATTTAGTTGAAAACAAACTGTGACTACAGAAGAATATAATAGTAAGCAGAAATTAAAATAACTGGCGATGGCGTCTCCTGTCCTGTAATTTTTTAAGAAATCAAGGTTGACTTATGTAACTTAATCTAAATCGGTTTAATTTCATCCAGAGAAGTTATTTTTGAAGTGTGTCAAAATCATAGAATGTAACTAATATTGGTAAATATCAAGTTACTGAAAATCGCCAAAATTGACCAATAATTTAGAACCAATTCTATTGTCTCGAATTTTTTAGTCAACTTATTTATAATTAGGAAATTTTCCACAATTTTGCATGCATTACATATACCAATGTTGGCCAATTTAATATAAATCATATTTTCTTAAATAAAAACGAATGATATTTAGAAAATTACAAACTAATCGGCAATTTATGCCCATGAAACATGAACAGTTAAAATTTGTGTTTCAAAGTAAATGAATGCAAACATTGTTTTCAAAATGGTGTTAAACTTGGTCGGCCTTCGCTTGTAATATGAAATATTACATGAGTAGATTTCCAATCCAATTCTATTTTTACATTTCTGTCATAACCATTAATTCAAGAATGACTAATCCTATTGATTTGAATGCTCAACTATCGTCCCATTCATTTTAGACCAGCAGATAGTAAATAATGACCAATTCCTAAGGAATCCACAAATTTTTAACCAACTGATGACTTTTTTCACAAAAATTATGATAGTCTCGCTTTTCTAGTTGAAAATAAGCGTCGTTTTCTAGAGGTATATTAAAAAAAACATGTAAACAATCTCTCGGTAACTAACGTCCCCTCACCTCCGCCGAAAACGACAACAAAGCTATTAAACCAGTACTGCGTACAGCACCCCACAAGTGTAATCGACTTATCACTCACATGCAGTCTGTTTATTATCCTGTCAAAGGGCGTGGGCGACTTGGGGTTGGGGTTATCCACGGCATCCACCTTCTTCTTGCACAGCTTGTTGCCCATGGTGCGGAAAAACACCACCGCACAGCACACTTAGCAGACAGAATCCGCACGCAACCAAAACAAAACACTCGCGGTATGAACTGCGAGTCGACTCGATTCGCAGCAGATCTAGGGGCCCCAACGCGACCTTTCCTAAACCACTAAGCTGGCTCTGGCTCTCCTCTCGGTCGAGGCAGGTAAGGTTGATTCGCTCACGTGTGTGCGGACGGCGATGGTAAACTGGACCGGGTAATGGGCCAGGGTGCTAATAGTTTACCTTCATAGGACACCTTTTTACGGTGAATAGGTATTTTCTTTTGACCATATTTCATTGAAATGTTTGTCGCTGAAGGACAACACTCCACATGGAGTGGAGATGCTTGTACAGAATTTTGAAGATATTTCCCGTAAATTAGAATTCACAGGTTAAGTCCAGCAAGCCTTAAATTACCACCAACCCATCTAAAATTCAATCCTGAACAAAGGACTAACAAGAAATGGGTTTAAAAAACTTGTTTTGCTTTGAAAATATTGAAAATTTCATAATTCGAATTATTTTAATAGTATCATTAAAGGTATTAAATAATCACTTCGTTAATATTATCTGTACGTTTTTTTTTTATTTACAAGCAAATAAATTTACCAAAAAAAACCTTCGTGACCACAGAGGTAATTATTTATTTTTTTAACAAGTTTGTTTAAATAACAGTTGGGTATTTGTTAATGTACCTACTTATTTTATATATGTATAAAAGTTAAAACATTCCATTTATCGTAGTGATGTCCAAATATGGTTTTAAATGAGCAAGAAAAACAAGGATGTTATTGATAATATTTCCTAGTAAATATAGAATCGTAAATATAAATCCCATATACGTATTGTGATGAAAAAATTAATTCCCCATTTTACAATGAAATCTAGATAAGAAAATACTTAATCCCAGAAACTATTAGATACTTTTAACCAACGAAAACTGATAAAACACCACAAAAGCAGAACAGGAGATATGAATAAATTCATTCATTTTCATAAGAATTATATTTACTTTTGCTATCTATGTTTTATCACACAATTCCGGAATTCCAAATGTCGTCGTTATAAACAATCAGTTCTAGCACCTACTCGTGATTGTCAAATTTCTCAAAAACAAGCGGTTTCATCTGACCCCAGACTGTTTAGCACTTGGGTTTTAAGGAGCACTTCAGTTTAATCTGAGTTGACGTTCGGTCACATGTGATGTGGATGACAACTGTGGAAACTGATGTGAAAATTCTGCCTCGCTCTCTGTGTCCCGTGGCTGGTATTTTACGTCCTTCGGACATGAGCGAATGGAAACATGAGCGAATTTTTGACCTTACGAGAAAACATCAATTAATATCAAGTCCAATTGGCAGCAGCCCACTCTTACGTCGCTCACGAACTGTTACCATTTTCAAATACATTCACACAGAGATTCGAAAAACTGTATTAATCCGAGATTCAATAAAATTATCAGTACGTAGAATGTGGGAATTGCGATACACCTTATGATTATTTAAAATTTGAAATGGCGTAGTAATTGTGTTATTATTTCATCTGGGAGGCCCTGCATGACGCTTTAACCGGCCGAACATCCGAATAGTAAACAAATGACTGTCGCGTTTTTAGGGACAATAAAACGGCCCTGCTCGCGGTTTTGGGGTCACGAGGGCGCTCTTTGATCCCTTTAAAGTCACCTTGAAATTTGTAATAATGGACCAGTATACGGAATTTAGTGACACTACTGCAGTTAGACATATATAAGTAGCTTTCAATTAAAAACAAACCGACGGTCAAAGTCAAAGGGTTAAAAATATTAGGAAGTTGTTGTCTTGTCATATTCCTTTAGTGTTTCGGACATTGGTGCCCCACGTTGGGCGCCATGTCGTCTTTCACTGTTTTAATTTTCCTGGAGAGGTGAGCCCAATATTTGTGAAAAATTGTGATGATACAAAACTTGCAGCAGATATGGAGCTAAAATTTCTCTCAGTTGTCGTTGAAAAAAACGTTTGTAAATGAGTTTTAATGTCGCCTAATGCACATTTAGTGTCAGAATGAGTCAGATGTTAAATTTAATATTGCATTTGCGAACAATTTACTGCATGTGCCTACCTGCAAGATGAAGCTCATGATTCATGAATGTTAAGAGAAGGATAACAAGTGTTACAGCATATGTTGACTTATTTACAAATTGCTTTTAAGATATCTAGACAGCGAATTTCTCTTTTGTAATACATTTCGTATCAATATTAATAACGTCGTTCTGAAATTTAAATCTGTTTTGTCATGGTTAATAAAAATTGTAGCGGCACTTGTTAGAATTTAAAATAGAGTATACCCATATTGATATTAATGAAATGATTGGCTGTTATTGTTTTATGATATCTGCTTCTACGCAACACAAAATGTTTAAAAGTGTCTTGTTGTGACTTCATTAGACACATTAGTACGCCACTGTTATTTAATCCATTAGCAATATCATACAAATCATTATCCATATTTACAGGAACTGAGATAGCATATGTAACGCATTTTACACTATCTTATTTACATGTATCGTGATAAAAAATAGACAAACAGGTAAATCTTTATAAGCAGCACATTTTCGCCAACGATATTTATTGAATCCAACTCTTTCACTTTCCTTTCCATTACTATAATAGAATTTATTATTACAGAAAACCGCGAACACGTGTAATAATTATTACTCACGACTCTTAATACCAATAATACGCTTAAATATCACTACAGTTGCGCAAGATGTTTTCCTCTGCATGAAGCAACAGACAAGGCGTTCATTTAATCATCTCGGGATTCATAAAATTGACCACTGGCAGCTCTTTAGAATATAACAGCGAGGTGACGTCAATTTTAATACGGCCGCAAAAGTGGGTCACATCGATTTACATGATTCACTGTTTGGGTGCCTCGGCAAAGGCGATGATGACTTCTGCTGTTAAATGTCGTATAATTAACAAATGCAAATCGCGACATATGAAAATGGCCGCAGAAAACAGGTAGTTTAGTCCAGCTTCACGACAAGTCGTAGCGATTTATTGTTGAAACCTAAAATCTTTTGTTTGAACGTCTACCACGTAAGGTGATATTCAAATTATTAATATTCAAAGTACCAACACCAGCAAACGTATTACCCTGCAGATACTTATAAATAAAATAAACTTTCACCTTACACATATAAAGCGCTATGCCTCTCCCGAATACTAACTATATTTTCTGAACCTCGTTGCTGCAGACAATGAAATCACGATCCTCAGTGTGCCATGGTTGGACCTAGGCGCTTTCCGCGGTCCCTTCCATTAATTACATCTGCTAATAGCAGGAAAGGTCGTATTTGCTATCTCGTGTTGACTTACTGCTTTGGCTCGGTTTACATCCATTAGCACAGATTTCCACGAGTTTCAATAACAGTTGTTTGTGTTTGCCGAACAATTCTCGGTTTTTACCAAATTATCGCTAGGGCATCGAATACCAGAACGCGTGGAAATAGGTTTTAACTACATTCAAGAATAGGCTCCCACAAACAAAACTAAAAAAGTAGCTTACAAAACCAACTTTAAAATAACGTAACCTTATAAGAGTACAAAACAAATTTTTTTGGTATGTCGAAAATTGCATGTAGATGTATTAAGTTTTTAACAATTTATCTGGCACCATCTATAGAAGAATTGGTATCAGAACAAAGTTTAAAATCGTCGGCAAATAACAGATGCTTACAGATACTTAATGACTTCCGGAAAATCATTAATAAAAATTAAAAATAATAAGGGCCCCAAATTTGAGCCTTGTGGAATGCCCTTTGTAGGAGACAACGACGTCGAAGTGAAATGTTGATATCTGACCATAAACTGTCTGTTATTTAATTATAAAGCGATATGTTGAACTAAGGCCTCTGAAAAGTCAAAGCTTTCTAAATGTTGTTGACTTGTATTCTATTGTCCAAAACCACAGATATATATTTTCACACTTGGTTGCTTGGTTTTAAAAAATAAAAGTTTTTAGATGTGACAAGGTACTTAAAGCCCATCTTAGCTTTGACGATATAGCATCTCGTAATCAGACCTTTATAATCGTTACTTACGAGGATCATCAACAGTTTTTTTTGTTTACTTAAAATTATTTTTTAACGTAAACAATGTGTACTACATTCGTTTGATTGTCTGTAAAATGTAAATACCTGCGAGCAATTAATTATTCATTAGCTGTTTTCCTTTCATGCTGTGTTAGATAAGAATAACTACTGAAGTACGGACTATACCAAGAACTGTTTTCCCTACATCGTTCTAATTACATATTCCATTCTTCAGCAGAGGATTTTCTCATATTTTTTCAATTTTTCATTCTCTCTGTAATTTTAGCTTAATAGTATTGGTTGTACCAAACGAGAACTTCTTGTGAAAAGCATTGTGAATTACATTAACCACGACACTTAGAAGATAACACTACAACAGGTTATTCCATGTATTATAGAAGGTTCAAAATTATGTACCTACTTTCCTGCTATCAAAATTAGCAGATTTAACTAAACTTACTCCTATCTTAAGTTTCTCGTTTATATTAGATATTATATAGCAAAAATTAGACATTAATACTATTCCCGGTGTCATTGATGAAAAGAATAAAAATCAGTGGACCAAGTGTCGAGCCCTGAGGCATACCTGATATTTGTTTATATATATATCAGATTTATAACCACTGTACTGTACAAATTGAATGAATTGAATTTATTTAAAGCTCATATAGCACTTGACCCTTTAGCCCGAATTAAAAATATGATTAAAATAAAATTCATTCAACCCTTTATTTAAACACCATGTATCCATTTTCTATACAAGTAAACACTAATGAATATAAATCAAGATCTTTTTGCATTATCACATTTTCATGTTTACAATATCTTAGCAGCCAATAGAGGTGACAATTTACACCTGAATGTTAGAAAATCGAATCATATCCTATAAATAGCCATCATGTAAGCATGCAAGACAGACCCAGCGGCATTTTTTGATATGGTGTGCAGCGACACGGAATCCATTTGTAAACAGGATCAACGGAATCATGCTCTTACTTACTTTGCATAGCTTTTGTATCACATTCATTTCGTATTATGGATTTTCTGTCACGAACACCGTTCAGCGGTTCCACGTAAAAATCTCAAAGTTCAACTTGTGTAACAACAACACGAGGCAGATTTGTGCTTTTCTCTTAATGGCCGTCAGAGAACTGTTTTGCTGTAACAATCTACAGAACGCTGCATTTCGATTAGCCGTGAGGTCACAAAGGTATGCGGTCACGTCAGATATATTAAAAACGAAAATATCAGTGACCTCACACAAGTTTGGCCGATTTTATAGTCTAGGTAATTGTTAGAGGTCCGAAAAAGATATAAATACAGTATTGCTGAGATCTATTTTCAGGCGTCGAATTGATTTTGGGCGTATAAAATTGTTGACTCTCAAACATAAGAAAGTAAGGCGGTGCCAAGTCCAGTTTAAGCCCTATTGATGTATATAAATTTGAGAGATTTTTTCGTTTTCTAAATTTCTGAAAAGTTGATGATGTAGAAAAAACATCCTTTTTTATTTCTACAGATTTCGTATAAATGAAGATTTAAACATTTTAAATTCGAACTGAACCTAGCCGGGAAATGAATTCTTCTGGTGCGAAAACTGAAGGATCCCCAAATCAATACTGTTTGGCAAACAGTCCCAGTCAAACAATAAATTGTGCAACGGCACACCACTCTTTGTTTTTAATTTGGCGGGGTACAGTCACCGGAGCCAATGGCCTCAGACCTCGATTTACTCCGTTGTCTAGCGTACGAAGTGTCTCTGTACCTACTACCGGATGGCTGGAGATGGCTGGTTCTCGTATCAAGTTGCTCTTTCAATCAGGCCCTGGAAGAGTGTTTGTTGTGGGAGTCCACACCCACCGTAATCTAGACGAGAACGGTTCAATGCCTTTTATACACAGTTTGAAAACCTCAAGGTAAACCGTTCGTATCTCGAGGGAAGGATTTCTGAATTACGAAATATCCGCGGCTGGCGCGGATTCCCTTTTGCCGTTTTCACGATAATAAAAAATAGCAGTTTAAATACTTTTCCCATGAAAATTTGAATAAATTCGTAGGTATAATACAAAATACAGTACAATGTTGTGTAAAATAATAAATAATGGTACTTCTCTCTTGAGTATTTTCGTGTTTTTTTAATTTATGAGCACCCTGTATATCTAATCTAAGATGTTTGTATGACAGTCTCATTTTTTCGAGGGGCAGAACTTTTTATAAAGAGTGACATTTTTCGATAAAGTCAAAAACAAAAGAGTTTCTCTCCTTGTCAACTCCATCCGTACACACTGTATATACATTATTAATAAACTTTGTTGTACTTAAATCCTCAAGTTTTTGCTAAATTATTTTATTAAAAAAGTAAACAAAAACAGAAAATCTTATTTTTTGCTTTCTTTAAAATTATTATTTTATTATATTATTTATTAAAGACTCTTTGTATAAAATTTTTCTTTTACATTTTTTAAATAAGCCATTTCGATGAGAAATTCAATTCTCTTCAAAATTTTTCTTATGAACTATACCGAAATTTTACTTCGTTTTCGTGCTATATTTAAAATACTGCAAAAGTACATTTTCACCCCTATCTTCAATTTCAACCCTCTAATTTAATAGCACCCCTAGGTTTTTTCATTTTTAATGACCCTTCGAACAAGTCATGTGATGAAAATTCTTCCTTTTTTTACAAAAAATGAGAATTAAAACATATAAGGATAAACGCGACGAAAGTTAATTTTCATCCAAAAATACCTTACAATTTCTTGTTTTGAATGGAATTTTATCTACTTTTTTTTACTATGAAGCAATACCTATACCTATCTTTACTAAAAAAAAAAACTAGGGGCAAAATTGTTTATTAACGATTTTTTTGCATAAAATTTTCCTTTTAAATTTTTTAAATAAGCTGTTTCCATGGGAAATTCTATTCTCTAAATAATTTTTCCTATGAACTATAGCGTTTTTTTATATATTCAATAGCCTAAAAGTAGAGGTTCGAATTTCGAAAAAAATTGAGTTCTTTATTCAATTGGAAAAAATGAAATCATGAAAACAAAGTTAACTAAAACAATTTTTGATAAACAATCAATATTTAGAATAATTTCCTGACCATTTACGTATCACCCTGTGTATTACATAAAATATCTGCTGAAGTTGTTTGCCTTGCGTGAATTTTATTTGTTGTAATATTTAAAAATAATGTAATTTTGATATAATTCATAACTTTGAGTCAGAAATATGCAACTCTGAACGCACTAACTTGTATACTTGGTTGCAGCGTTTTAAAAGTTCTCCATTAAATTGAATTTGTTTATAACTTCAGCATTTTAAAGCTAAATCTTATAAAGCACGATGTTACAGCTTCTTTAAAAAAATATTACTGCTTGCTGAGACTTTAGCGGTGCTGTTTTCATAATTAGAACATTATTTATAAAAGTAAACAGTGCTGACTATGAATTTCAGGTAATAGTTACATTTATAATGAAGGACTGTCGTTTTATTACCCAGTAAAGGCATCCAATAAAGGAAATATTAAAAAAACGCGAGATGACGGGAAGCTGACTTTGCTAGAAATAAAACTGTTTCCAACTAAGCGCAAACCGTCTTAAAATCGACAGTATATTTTAACGGTAATACGACACAGAAATCCACTATCTGACTCCTCTTAAATAGCGTTAAACACTGGTCGGTGGCCAGATATAATTCTCGTTACAGTAAATTATACCCTAACTGTAAGAAATTGTTAAGAAATGAAATACTGGGATGTATTAATGGCGTACTGCAATTATTTTTATGTATAAATAACATGCAAACGCATGTCGTTGATGCTTGAAACTCTACATAAAAAAATATTATTACTTGACACAACAAAAACTCTTGCGATAGAATTATCTAAGTGCCTCATAGCCAAAAAAACTTTCAAGTCCTATAGGTACACATACTAAAGTCTATCTGCATTTATTAATGCTCGAAATTACATTAATTCATTTGTGCAAGACTATAACATTTAAAGCTGAAGAGAATAACCCAATCAATTGTATGAACAACAGGTTCAAGCTATGTAAAAGTAGTTTTATTTGGATTATATCTTAAACAATATCATTTTGCGTATAAAAAGTTAAAAACAATATAAAATAATGCTATGCTTTCCTTCTAAAATGGTAAAGGGTCTGTAGCTCTGGGCTGCCTGTCGCTATTAACGTCTTCAGGATCCCCACTGCTCGACTCCAGGTTGTTATTTAATTGATTATCGTTAATATCTGATACGGGGAAGGAAGTACCTTCTGTCACATTGATGACCCTGCTGTTTTCGGGAATGCTGACGGGAACTGTAGCACTTGGAACCACCGTCGACGTTGGTAGTACGTGACTGATGGATACAGAATCTTCAACGGAGCATCTAGAATTGTTTCAACTTAATAAATACGAGAAAGTTTAGAACAAGCTGTTTTCGTCCCGCAACAAAACAAAAATTGACAGATTGGAGACGTATCTTCTACTTAATTACCTTTCTAGGTTTTCGGGAAGCTGCAAGGGCCTACATCCCTTTACGGAATAAGTCAGTACAACTCTTGGATCGGTTACCACGGTTGTCACTAGTTCGGTACGCACCACAGTCACTGTAGGAGCATAGATACCGAGATATTCCCCCCAGCCGAGGGGAGTGCTCTGTATGGGATCAGATTTCGATTCGGGTGCTAGTTGAGTGTCACTGAAACATGAAAAAACCGTGACAACAAGGCTAAAGTGATAAAGAATATTTGTAATTATAATTAATTTACAAGGAAACCCAAAAATATTGTTTAAAAATAACTTCTGTTATATCTTACTTTATTGGGGTCTCATTAGTATCTTGCCCCACCTTCGGGAAGTACAAAAACCTGACGCTTCTACAGGGAGGAAGGGTAGCGTCCACTTGCACGCAAGAAGAAGGTACCACGGACGTCACTGTGCTAGTGTCCACCACAGTAACAGTGTACGTGCCTCGTATAAATCTTGGATCGCGTTGCCCGACATTTTTACAGAGCACTGTGTGTACTAAAAAAATTTTTAGCAAAAAAAACGTGAAATAGTACATTTTTACTGTTCAAAGGACGATTCGAGACTAGCTTGGCGCGGTTCTAGAAGGGTATTTATGTAAGGGTGTGTATCTACCTGGATGATATAAGGTGGCACAGATTAAAGTTGTGGAAAGTGAGGAATTTAACAAGGGGTAGTTTCTAGGGTTACAAAATTCTGGTGGTGTTTCAGAGAAAGATTAAATTAAAAGTATACATTTTAAAATTGTGCATGTATAAACAATCAAAACCAGTGGTATAGAAAAAAAAAACGCTACTAATGTCGGGAAAATTTCACGACCGTACAGCAACAGAAAGGAACGGCTGTAAACAATTTGTTTATTCCCAAGAAATACAGTTGTTTCACGAGTGAACAGCGTCAAATTTAAAAATATTTGTAAGTAAATTTGGTCCGCCTTGTACTGTGACAAGGATATTGTTTATTTAGCCCACGAAAAGGTATGTACCTAATTGTCATTTACTGATAGATTGTTCAGGTATGATAGTTTTTGGTCTGTTAATGCAGTTTTGGTGTAAATTACTTATTTATGAGTTATCGTGAAAATATTAGGATAACATTTTTGGAGTAGTTTCAATTTTTTCGTAGAATATTTTAAGTAAAGTGAAATATTAAACAGAAATAAATGCCAATACAAATACTTTTACAAAATTCGTATACCTTGGAAAAGTCTCCAGTATCCTTATAGTAAAATGGCACATTATAGAATATTATGCTTATAAGAACAAAGAACTGCAATTTAATATTAAAGTTTCTAGGTTTATTGCGTTTTATATATTAAAAACAGCCTTTCTTAATGGATGCAAAGAAAGTAGCGATAAAGATTATGATCATATTAACATGAAATTATTTCAATTTATAAGTAACATATTTACACATCTTCTATAAAAAAAAACTGGTCAGGAGTCACCTCACCATTTATTGCTTTAGAAATAATAAAAATTTTAAAAGTTAGAACAGATTTTTCAAGACATTATCCTATTTTATATTTCAAATATTTTATTTATGATTTAGATTATTGAAATGCCGAATTTATATATCTGTACGTGTAATTTATTTTGATTTTATTGGACTCGATTTTATTTATTTAGCGGAATAGAGTGTAATTGTAGTATAATATCACGTCATATAAAGTTCATCAAATAAACCAAAATTTTTGACGAGAGTAATTAAATCAAATTTATATTTTTTTAATTTCTACTTTTTCTAAACCTTGTCGATGAACTCGTTCAGAACTTATACTAGCACAGTTTGTTGAAAACTCCCCATTACAAAAACCATAAACAAACACCATATTTGCATACTGTAAAGAATAAATTATTGGCATTTTGTAACACTTTGATCGTGCAAACGTGTAATCAAATGTTAAACTATTGCAACATAAAATGACGCTGACAATAAGTATCCTACTTTTGACCTTGGAACATGACATACTCTGAGTTCAAATTTTTTAAATTAATTATAGGGAAACAAATGCAATTCGCATAACAGCATTTAAGTTTTTTCTTATTATTTTGACGTGTAGGGTCCATAGAGCTGGGTATAAATAAACGTAGGTATTTTTCATTTAGTCCTAAAATTATGTTTCGTTCGCGGAACATTGGACACCCTGTATAGAAAAATTAAATCATAAAGTTTTTTTACGTACGAGTATATTTGTGCGACTCCGTCCATCTAGCTATCAAAGTACCATTTGGACAACAAAATAACTAATATATTATTTTACAAAGCGCATAGAGCAACATTTTATTTCTGTATGTTATATTCTTGGAGTACTGTAATATATCCAGAGGTGTAATTTGCTGTTTTCTGTCAGTCAGGCGAATAATGGCCATCATAAACATATAGCATTAACTAAATTGTTAGCAGGCGTGTTACTGCTTCCCATGTCGCTTGTTATTACTGCAAACGGCAAAGTTTTAGGGAAAGTAGGGAACCTATATACGGAGGTTGTCTTGCAGAAGCTGAAAACTGCTAAACTGAATCGATTTCTTTGTTCTTTGTTGGAAATAATAGCACCGTATTTTTTTCCTTTGCTACCTATTAATTTCCAATTTAGCGCACGGGCGACCTACTCACCTACACATTTTCCTTTACTGGGTTATAACATAACTATAATAACAATAATACAACGCAAACTACAAGTTTTCCGAATAATCTTATCTCCGAAATAATTGCGTTCATTTTAAGTAAATATAAGCGGGACCATATTAACTTTTGGGTTGTTATAGTTACTGGTATTGAGTGTGGGTGAGATGTAACCTAGAAAGTGTATTATATCTTGAGTATCACCATTGTATAAGTAAATACTTATACAATGGTATCACTGCTACTCAATATTGATGATTAGACCAAGAAATAAAGGTGAAAAATCATGGAGAACTCGTAAAAATTACTGGGCGTGATTTTATTGTTGGAAAATCTTGGGAATGATAATACAAAGGGCGTCTCATCAAATGGGCCAGAAAAAAGTATAGCGTCATTGTTTTTTTAATCAACAAATAGGTTAAAAATTCGTAACTTTTCGTTCTACGCGTTATTGTAAAAAAACTATTAATCTTAGCAAAAAAGTTCAACAGACGATTTGATCTAGATAAACTCATCTTTAAAATGAGACTTTATACGTTAAAATTGCTTTATAAACAAAAAAGTTATTGCAAAACTAAACGGAAGAAGTGCTTTTTCTTTAATTGTTAATAACTTTTTAAATAATTAATAAAATCTTACCAAATTTTCCCAAAATGTGAGTTTTTATATCCTTAAGGGATGTGCAAAAGATGGGCTCGATCGGTCAAATAGTTTTGCAAAATTCCATTTACTTATCCCATTTTTGCAAAAAAGGCCCATTTTCAAATGACTATTTCGGGGGCAGGGTTATGACTATAACATTCTTTTTGAGCTCATTTTCTTCGAAGGTACACCAAAGTCTCATTTTGAAGATGAGTTTCTCTAGATCAAATCGTCTGTTGAACTTTTTTGCTAACATTAATAGTTTTTTTACAATAACGCGTAGAACGAAAAATGACGAATTTTTGACCTATTTGTTGATAAAAAACAATGACTCTATACTTTTTTCATGACCCATTTGATGAGATGCCTTTTGTATTATCATTCCCAAGACTTTCCAACAATAAAATCACGCCCAGTAATTAATAAATTTCAAAATGTTTCCTTTCCTGATCTAGATGTCTATTTGGATATCTTCGTCAGTATACTCGATCTGCTTGTCCGGCGTTCCCATTGGAATATACCCCATATAGAAATAACTGTATGTATTTTTTATTTAGCACTTTAACACTAAGTGTCAAATGATAAACAAAATGACTCGAGTAATAATTATTGTTATAGGAACTATTATTTTTATTTATCAGGATACTTTGATTGAAATATAAAATTATGTTTTTTAAAATGCTTATAGCTTTTAAACAAAAACGAATCGGACCCATGTTCATATAAGAAAAAATGTGTCAAAGTTTGTCATAGAGTTTGAACACCCCGTATATCATTGTCCACATTGTTTCTGGAATAGCACTTTCCATATTATGAAGAAAGTTTGTAATACAACAATTAAAAATTGTAGGTATTGTTAATAGTTGCATATACACGAATTTCAGATTTAAATTACGCTACTGTTATGTGACAATTATTTTATGTCGGGATTTATATAATTGACGTGTAGGTAATCAAAAGAGATGCACGACTGAAGGCACAATTATTATTGAGAAACCAAAACTGAGGAGCGAAACTTCATTTTCTTGGATATTATTATATTGCTGCAATCGAGTCACTCAAAATATTAATTACGTAAATTCCGTGTATAATTAATATCGTTAGAAGAAAGAAAGAAACGTGTTACTTCAAAAAAAATATATATATATACCATTCGTGGTAACCTATGTAAATATAAATTATTGTTATAACTATTTCTATAAATATGTTTAAAATATACCTTATTTATACACAGGGTGTTTTGAAAAAATTACCATGTATTCGGAGACTGATAGAATATAAAAGAATAGGACGATATTTTCTTATAGACCAAGAAACTATCGTCTTCTGTTTTTGAGATATAATTACGATTTAATAACTTCAAACTTTTCGTTCTCACTAAACATTATATTAAAATAGTTTGTTATAGGAAATAAATTAATGATGATAAATAAACTTCTGTCAAAGTCATCTGTTTGTTCCGCGTGCGTCGTCCATAGCCACTGCGATCCGTCAGACATAAATTTCACTCCTGTTTTTTCAAAAACAGTTTTAAACTGAAATATATCGAAAAGTCCTAAATCAAACAGTAACATATTATATATTTTTGAAAAGAGAAATATTTAACGAAGCTAAGTATGCACTAATATATAGGGCGTTCCATTAAAAAAAATCTTTAATTTAGTGATTTCCATTATTCAATTAATTGTTTCTTCTAATACTGTATTATAAAAATTGATAAAAAACTTTTCTATTAAAAACTTTTTTGTAATTTCAATAATAAACTCACTATAAGTTGTAGTGACTAACCCTGTACAGTCATGGACAAAAAAAAGTTTCCGTGGACTATAAAAAGTTACCAAATTATGGTGTTATTCTAATTACCTTATTACATTTAATTGAAAAATATATAAGTCAAGTCCATTGCGTGGAATATTTGACCGCCAAAAGCAAGAAGGGGTATTTATTTCAACCCAAAAACTATTACTCTATAAATCAATCGCTGTTCAGACTGGTATCCGCCATACTAAATCAGAAACCACAGTACATCGCACATAATTATTGACATAACTAGATTCCCATTGTTTACTCGCGAGGATAATTCAATCAAGACAAACCAATGAACCTTAACTTGCAGTATTATAACGTCCCCCTTAATGACCATCATTAAATCCGCCAAGAAGAGCAGGCTCAACAATCGTGCCTACCGTCCAATTTCCATTCTTCGCCCACCGGACTACTTAAGGAAGTTATAAAGAGCTCATGGTCCGCCGCCGCGTCAGTCAACAACAAATGCCTAACGTCAAGCCAACGCGGAAATGCATCTCCTCGTAATACTCGCGTTCGCGACCGTCCGCGCGAATCTCTACGAGGAATGCGCGAAACTGTACAGCCCCAACAATTACCTTAACTACCTTCCGAATTTACATTTGCCCTATTTGGGGAACGTACCCCTACCGGCGAATCCCCCAAAGGTGACGCCTTCGCCAGTGGTCACTACTAAGGCGGTCAGTATAGTTACGAAGTACGTCTACAAGAATCCGGTGTGCGTGAAGTTCTCCAAACGGCAGAACAGTTGCAAGCAGGACAACGGTGTTAAGCACAAGGGGAACGTCGAGCAGCTTGTTACCAAGGAATATTTCGTAAGAGACAGAGAGTTTGGCGGCAAACGCGAGCAGGATTACATCAGGAGAAATGAGGACGAGTTTAGGTGAGTTGTATCGATATCGTAAAAATTTTAATTATACATATTAACTGCCAAAATTCACTATTTAACTCACTAGAAACAATAACTTTTGTCTAATAAAATAACGCTTCTTATAGGATTAAATATACATCTAAATGCTGTACTAACTTAAATTTTTTTCTAGCTCTTATTACTATAGTTTTTTTTTGTTAAGATTGCAGCGCCATCAGGATCTCGATTACTACGAAGAAGAAGAAGAAGACAGTGACTACAGAGACATCAACCACTTCGTGCAACCTAGCGAAGAACCCAGACCGTCCACTAAAGGCCTCAGGCAGACGCCTTACCTCTCGAACAAACAGATCCACGAATTGTTGATAGAAGACAGACTTGACCAACTAGAAACCATCTTACCGCATTACACTAGAAGAAGAACGTTCGAAACGTCGACCGTCACGGTTACCAAAGTACTGAGTAATAAACGCTCCATGGCGACTTTGATCGTGAAAAATTGTATACCCCAAGGATACGAGCTGTGTTCTCCGAAGAGGAAGAAGAGGAAATCTAAAGTGGCGCGATTTTCAAATAATCGTAATGAGAATCATTATTTTGGCTAGCTACTTAGAATGGTTTTTTGAATCCGTAATCGTAAATTACGTTCCAAAGATAATTTGATATCAATCGTCGTTTTAGTGTATTGATCCAAGTACTTTTTGTCAAATTTGTTTATAATGTAAATAGATTTAGTAGGAAGTGTATTATTTATTTCATAGAAATAGAGATTATTTTAATTTATTGCTAGTTTCCTATATACCAAAATTAAAACAAATGTAAAAATCTGTACTTGACAATGTTCATTCATGGAGAACTAGTAACTAAATAAATAATTTAGGGTATATTTGAAGTATGTGATTGGTGTAACTGCCTAATTTGTAGGTTTATACTGTTCTGTGGTTCGTGGTTTGACATTTGTTGAAGTGATGGCGCTGCGGTTGTTGAAAGTTGAAACGTTTTAAAGCAGTTTGTGATTTGTATATGGTGAAATGTGGATTTATTCCATTTTAATATTATTCTGACTCACAAAGTGAAAATTCTACGGTATATTAAGCTGTCCTTTCAAATAATTGTATCGGGAAAGTATCATTGTGTAAGTAAATTAATTAAATAAAACACTACAAAAAAAACCGTTGGTGTACTTAAAATTCAAACAGAACGTGTTGAAGCTACGAAAATAAGCCGTAACACAAAGGCTTTTTCGCGATTGATAATATTGGTGAATATGTGACTTGTAGTTACTATTTCTTTTTCATTTGATCTTAGTTGTCGTGTGGTTCATTCTCTCATACTACACATACTACAACATACTACTTCACTCGCGAGTACTTAAAAAGAGAAATCACAAATTCCCAATATTACAAGTGATACTAAATAAAAAAGTGATATATTAGAAGCAATGTCAGCAAGACAATTTGTATCATGTCAGTTTATTGTAAATTAATAATCAGATGTTTGTTTGTAGTTTATATATAACCAGAAGATACACAAAAATCACTGATCTTTGCAAAGATAACTATGGAGGGTTCAATTGACAATACATATACTGATTCATTGCACATAAAAATGAAACGCCTAATAACAGAAATAAACAAATACTTAACTGTAAAAACTGAGGATAGTGTATTTTTAATAAATAAAAATTTACAGGTAAGCTTTATTACATAGACCTCAAGAGCTTCTAATTGTTTTTCTTTTAGACATTCAGCGTAACGATAGATATAAATATATTTGATCCCGACACAAATCTGGGCGTAGAATTTTTCATCTGTTTGTACAATCTCTTCGTCAAAACAGAGCCTCAGTCGCAGATGTCGTGGTATTGCGTCGACGTACTATGCAACGCTTGTCGTAATACATCAGCCAGACAAGCTCTGATAGACACCTACAACTTCATTCCAAGTCTGTCGCAATTGTTAGGTGATCAGTTGACTGACGTAAAGAAAAAGAAGCTTCTCAAACTAATGCAGGTCAGCAGTTGTAATATCCTTTCCGAGTTGTATGATTGTTTTTGAATACATTTCAGGATCTTTCTTGCGGAATTAAGATATCGTGGCAAATTCCTCATCTACCGCACTTGTTGAAGACGTTAACCAAATGGGTAGAAAGCCAGGACCAGGAGATAGTGTGCTTATCGTTAGGCGTTTTGGTAAACTTGTGTTACAAGAATTTACCAGCCGTATACACTTTATCGAAGACTATCGACATAAAAAAGTTTTTAAGGTTTTGTCTGCCGCTCAAGGTAAGTGGTACTTCCAAATCTTTTGGAAATAGCAAGTGGACTTTATAATTTTAGGGTCCTATAACGGAAATATATGTATGTAAATTAATGGTAGTGTTGGATTACATGCACGTGGATATACCTAAAAACACCCTAGTGAAGCTCGTAGAACCAACGTTCTTGTCAATTTTTGAGTCTTTTAAAAGCAACGACGCGATAGTGCTTAGGCAGATTGTCGATTTCTTTTTGGATGCAATCAGACCAAGCAAAGGCAAGCTGGTTTTGAGGGAATGTAGTCAGTACGAAAATCACATTGAAAATCTTTTGCAGGTAAATATAATAGTTACCACCTTTACGAACGGGTTTAAACGAATGTTTGTATCGTACATTTTAAGCCTTAACCCATCGGGAATTTAAGAATTTGATGTGTGTACGTTGATTTCCATTTTCAATTGTTACAAACTTGTCTCACGATATTAAATTTTCCATCTTCATCGTTTTACATACCACTTTATAACTTAATTTCTTAGCTGGTGGACAACAGTGCCGGTAACTCCTCAAAGGATTCCGGATACTCTGTAAAAGACAGCAACCCCGAATGCGTATGCGTCATACTGGAATTCATCCATTCCATAATGTGCTTCGATGCTGAATCCGTCACTAGTCTGAATCCTAATATAATTAAGCTGGCCATCAACTGGATAAACTCCGAATTTGTTTCGTTCCAAGCACTCGCCGTCTTAACGAAAATAGTCGAAAAGGTGCTAGAAACGGAAAACGACAGACAAAACAGTGAAATCTTCGAGTCGTTAGTAGCTGCGCTACCGGTATTTCTACTAATCTTACAGTCCAACGCCATTCCGTCTAACATGGAGAGCTGTCGCAGGCTGGGGGCGCTCCTCCAACTTTTGAGGGGTATGGTCCAAGCCGCCAGTACCCGCCCCGGCGTCTTACAAATGCTAAAGGAGGAATTAATCGCGAAGGTGTTTGTACCCTTGCACTCGGAGAACTTGAACGTCGAGTGTTTACCGATCCTCAAGTCCAACGATGTGGGTGTCTCGTCCACGGATGCCGTGGGCACATACTTGTACGCCTTGGGTCTGGTAAACGATCTAGCGCAATGTGGGACCAACTGGCTTGGCCTTCAAAGCTCGTTGATGGAGAATAGGTAAGTTGTAAGGTAAAGGAAATTACGACGCCTAGTTACCTTTTTTTTTATGTAGGAAGGTTCACATGATCATCGCTCAGGCTTTGTACGGCGGCACCACCGAAATAAGAAGCATGGCCTTGGAAATATCTAGACATCCCAATTTTCCCGTAAAGAAAGTAGCCTCTACTTTGGGTATTTTGCGGCCAGAGTTCAGCGAGTCTAACGGTAGGGTTCAAAGATACACCGAGGTCGGTTTTCCGATACTCTCTTTTACTCAGATGGAGAGGCTGGACGATGCGCTGGACAAATTGGAGGTCAGTAAAAGAGATGTCCTAACTTTTGATCTACAGTAAATGCGGGTTTTTTTAGTAAATACATATAGAATTTACGGAGAATGTTGGCAAAGTGTGGCCGCCGTATCTCACTTAATTTATTTTTCTTGGTAGAAATTAATGGGCGACGGCAACACAGCGAGTATTGTGACCTCCCAAGTGATGGAGCTGTACGAGTACAAGCTGGCGACGCTAGGCTACGCAGAAAAATCGGCTCTCGCCAGCATTGAGGCGGCGACCGAGCGGTGCACCCAGCTGCAGCACCGGCTGGCGCAGATAACCGCCGAACAGAATAAGTTGCAGCAGTTACTGTTCCACGAGCAGTACTGCCTGGAGCAGACTATGAAGTCGAACAAGGAATTCAGGGAGCTGTACACGATGGAACAGAACCGGGCGCAGGCAGCTCTGGGTATTGCGTTTTAATAACGTGTCGTTGTAACGGTTAACATTGTGCGCTTTCAGGTAAAATTAAAGTGTACGAAGAAGAAATGAGGAACAAAGAGAAGCTCGTGAAGGAACTTGAATCGCTAGTGAAGAAGGTGGAGCATATGTCGGATGTTAATTCGAAGCTAACGGAGCAACTGGCTAAAAAAGAGCAGGTTATTAATAAGTTGGCGGAAAGTGGCAACAAGTCGGAGAAAAATTTGCAGAAAGCGGAGGATCTCCTGAAGAAGGCCAATTTGGAAAATAAAAAATTGAACTCGGTAAGTCTTTTTTTTTGTTTCACAGACACGACATTTTATTACAGTTCCGTCACAATGTAAAAAAAAAAGAAACGCTGCATAATAAACAATAATTGAAGCACTCCGTATATGGTTTGAAATAATTTAATGGCTTGTTTCTCGCATATATTTTTTAGAACATAACGGAACTCGAGGAGAAACTGGACGTAAAGGAAATGAGATTAGCCGAATTAACGGAACAGTACCATCAAATGAAACACATCATAGATACGATTACGAAAGTGGCGACCAGCTCGCAAGTACCTTGAGCTCTTGTTAAAATCTAACTTGTGAATAATCTGTGATATGTAGGATTCTTAAATCGACTGAATAAGCAATTATTTGTGCCTTTAAATTGGAGATAAATAAGGTTTCAACGTTTATGTTTCATGACGTACATTTTTAGAATCTAGAAACTTTTTATATTTTATACTCGTATATTGCATGAAAATAAATATCATTTTAAAGTACTCACGTGTTTTTAAATAAATCCTTAATTTATGAGGAGTAACTATCACAAAATTTAAATTTTATGCATAAATATGCCGAGGTAATAATTAAAAAGTTATGAACTACCTTTTGCAGAATAGCCTTGGTAAATATAATCGACGAATTGTGACCTACTTCTCATTAGACCGAATTATTCAAATGCCCAAGAATCAAAGTTATCAACAACTGCCTGCTTTCGTTTTAAAGGGTGTCCGAAACGAAACAGCTCATGTCAAGAAGAAGAAGAAGAGCTTAGAAATTTAACCTACAAATCATAAATTGTTTATTTTGCTTTGATTGCCAGGAAAAGTCAAAGATAAAGCAGAAAAATAAAAATGACTCCTGACGGAGACCTTATAATTAAAAAAACTATTTACGCGGGCACAAAGGCAGTTCCTTTTAAAGGTGGAACCAAGGTAGCAGCCAAATTTAAACATAAAAAATAAGCGTTAATTTTGATATGTTTATGCTTTAGATTCATTTCCACTTTCAAGCGAGACTGTGCAACCCCGAGAAAACATTGCTGGACGATTCAAGGAAAATGGGTCAGGGAAAACCTCTCGACTTGGTCTTAGGCAAGAAGTTCAAATTGGAAGTATGGGAGGTTATCTTACAAAAAATGGCTGTTAACGAAGTTGCGCAGTTTACAGTGGACAAAAGTGTTAGTATTACACGTTTATAAATGGCATTTTGTAAGAATTTAATGTCGTTTTAGTTGGTAATACAATACCCATTTGTATCGAAAACGTTAAGGGATTTGCACCGACCAAAAGGCGAACGGAAGACTCATTGCTGCGCAATGACACTGCAGAACGAAGGTGTAGGATATGACGACCTAAACGAGTTTCTAAAACGTCCAACTGATTTGGAGTTTACAATGGGTAATGTTAATATAAACGTTTCCAAGATTGTTGTTGAATGGTGTGTTTTTCAGAGATTTTGAAAGTAGAACAACCAGAAAGTTATGAAAAAGAAAGTTGGCAGTTAGAGGAAAATGAAAAAATAGAGCTAATACCAAAGTTAAAAGAACAGGGAAATGAAGAGTACAAGAATAAGAACTACGGAAAGGCCGCTGAATTGTATGCTAAAGCGGTCGGTATGTTAGAACAACTAATGTTGAAGTAAGTTGTCTTGTGTGGATTTTCATTTGGTAAATATAATAAAAACGTTTTTAGAGAAAAACCACACGATATTGAGTGGAACGAACTTAACGACCAAAAGAATCCGATACTTTTGAACTACGCTCAGTGTAAGCTCTTCGAGGGAGACTACTACGCTGTGATCGAACACTGTACAACCGTTCTAAAGACAGACAAAGGTACGTTTTATTAATTTGAATTTTAGTCCGATTTTAACATCGCAATTTTTCAGATAACGTAAAAGCGTACTTTAGGCGAGCGAAAGCTCACGTCAAAGCGTGGAATATTGAAGAAGCAAAGAACGATTTCAATAAAGTTATGGAGATCGATAAATCTCTAACTTCGGTGGTAAAAAGAGAACTTGCAGAATTAGAAAAGCAAATCAAGGAAAAAGATTGCGAGGATAAAGGAAAATATAGTAAACTTTTCGTGTAAAACGTGATTTAAAATGTATTTGTACGTTAATTTCTATATTTTTTATTTATTTTATAGCGTTATATTTTAAATAAATATTGTATTTAATTGTATATGTATATGTATTTGTAAATAAATCTGCTTTTCAAATTTGAAAAGTTTCGCTAATTTATATAAACTAAGACAATCACAGTTATTATTTTAACCAGATTTTGACAACCGGATATGGGACGCGAGGAGGCTATTCTGCAACGCTCCGCCCTTATGTTAGAACCGAGCGATGAAAATATTATTCTTGGTATTTCCGACGACATTCATCCCTCAAAACAAAACAAATTTAGTCAATTTTATTTTTGTCGTCACAAAAAATAAATAATTTATTTTATAGGACAAGCCACACCTGTGCAGGTAAAAATTCTCCACCCTCACGTGAAGAAATCCAAGATATTGCTGGGTAAAGAGGGGTTATTAACGTTTTACAAGAAGACACTCCGCCCTTCACCTCTGAATTCTCCAGATTGGAGTCCGTTAAACATTTCAAACGATATGAAGTAGAAAAGGGCATACATTTTTTTTACACTACTATAGTACACAGAACGAGATTTTTTTTATATATTTTGTTATTGCATTAGTATTTTCTTATGAATTTAAAATTTTGTATTATGTCAATTTATTTTTTACATTTAACACAAAATTTTATGTGCAAACTCGAAATTTTGGGCTTTGGAAAGAGTGACGGCAAAAATCACCTGTTTCTCAAATTACTCGTACAAAATTAAGATGAGCATAGCTTAGTTTTTTGAAAATTTTCAAAAATTTAGGTACTGAAAAGACGCCCAAAATGAAGAATTGAATATTACCAGTAAATATAAAAACTATTAGCGTGTGAATTTTTCTATCGAATGATTCTCGATGCAAAGAAAGATTTATTCTCATCACTGAAATAAGCATGTTGAATTAGAATATCCACCCTTAAGCGCGCTCAGGGGGTGGAATCATCCCCAAAAATAGAGAATATCAGAAATAATTGTAAAAATTCCCAAAAAAATATATTAAGATAATTCACATGCTAATAGTTTTTATATCAATTGGTAATATTCAAATTCTTCATTTTTGGCATTTTTTCAGCCCCTAAGTAGGGGGGATTTTTTAAATTTTCAAAATACCAAAAGCTCTGCTAATTTCAGTTTTTTACGACAAGTAATTTGCGACCAAAAACATATTTTTATGTATTTTTTTTTAATTCTCTGCGAATTGTGGAAAAATGGGCAAAAATCACAGGTTTTTTGCGGTCACTTTTTCAATTAAAAAAAAATTGAACTCAAAATATAGAGTTGGAACAAAAAATATTGAGTTGAAGTCAACATTTCAACCTGGAATTCAAAATTTCTTATTCGAGGTTTGAATTTGTTGCAAATTTTGGACTTGAATTTTAAATTCCAAAGTCAAGTTCGATGTTTAACGAAAAAAAGACAAAGAAATTTTGTTTTTGTAGCTATTACCATCGATACGTCTCCGAAACGACTCTGAGTTGGAGTGTCCGCTGACATGACTGTGGGCCTGACTGAAGGACAACAAAAAGCCGTACACGAAGGAAGAGGCGATGGCGAAGCTGGCTGCCAGAGAGGCCGCCCACTTTCGAGGGGTGTGTATTAATTTATTTATATAACGCCTAGTTTAGTAAATATTTGTATATTTTTTTGGCTGAGAAAATTTGTTGCCTATAAATATTTACTACCATTAGGCTATTGAATATATCCAAAAAAAACTATGACGTTTATGCAATTTTATTGCATGAATCGTTCAAAGGGTCATTTTAGATGAAAAAACCGCGGAGTGTTAATAAATTAGAGGGTGGAAATTGGAGATAGGCGTGAAAATGCACCCCTTTCAGTTTTTTAATTGTAGCTCGAAAACGAAGCTATAGTTTGTAGGAAAAATTATTTAGAGAAATGAATTTCCAATCGAAATGGCTTATTTAAACAATTTTAAAGGAAAATTTTATGCAAAAAAAACGTTAATAAACAATTTGAAAAAAAGCAAAAAATTTGATTTTCTGTATTTTTTACTTTTTTGCCTCAAAATTTCAAATTTTGAGGTGAGAAGTACCTATACATATAGAGTAAAAGTCAGAATTGAAATTTTGATTTTAAAATTTATATTAGGACATTATTTGAGGTTATAAACTGATTTGTTTTATAAAAATGTGTAAAATAATAAATAATGGTACTTCTCTCTTGAATTTTTTTGTGTTTTTTTAATTTATGAGCACCCTGTATATCTAATCTAAGATGTTTGTATGACAGTCTCATTTTTTCGAGGGGCAGAACTTTTTATAAAGAGTGACATTTTTCGACAAAGTCAAAAACAAAAGAGTTTCTCCTCTTGTCAACTCCCTCCGTGGACACACTGTATATACATTATTAATAAACTTTATTGTACTTAAATTTTCAAGTTCTTACAAAATTATTTTAGAAAAATTAAAAAAAAATCAAAAAATCTTATTTATTGCTTTCTTTAAAATTGTTTATAAAAGATTTTTTGCATAAAATTTTCCTTTTACATTTTTTAAATAAGCCATTTCGATGAGAAATTCAATTCTCTAAAAAATTTTTCCTCTGAGCTATACCGAAATTTTGCTTCGTTTTTGAGCTACGATTAAAAAACTGAAAGGGGTGCATTTTCACCCCTATCTCTAATTTCCACCCTCTAATTTAATAGCACTCTACGGTTTTTTCATCTCAAATGACCATTTGAACGATTCGTGTAATAAATATCTTGAACGTCATAGTTCCTTTTAACTTAATTCAGGAAGTGAATATCTTTATATCTTTTTTTTTAGTCTACGACAAGATGCACCGATGTCACATCCAGATCAGATTTTGATGAGAGTATTTTTTGGGCCAGAAATTCATCGAGTATATCGCTAATCTTTACAGCGAATCACTCATATGAAAATACCGCACAAAATCCTCTGTCCCTCGTATCGCCATCATATCGGAAGAGAAGTTTATTTAGTACATGAACCGCCACTATTGCTGAAATTTGATGGACACAATTAGTGCAGACACCGGACACTGACCGAAGATCTGTGGTAAGCTTGAAGTTTTCTTCACTGTGTTACGTCGTACACCTTTAGGTTATGATGTATTTATAAATAGTTTTATTTTTTTAGACGTCCAATATGTTATTAGGAATTTTTATTGTACGGACAAAGTTACTTCCACACAAAGCCTTGTTGAATGTACGGTTAATTATCTTTTACATTTCGCTGCTCTCGTTCAACCTGACGAAGCGAACAACATGAAAGCGAAACATCAAAGAATGTTGATATTTGGCGGAAGAAACTTTTAGGCTCACTATATTTTTCGATAAAATTAGCATTTAATGTGTTTTTATTTATGTTACAGGACAAAGAATGTCTGAAATGCTGAAGGAAGCCAACGAATACAAAAAGTTACTCAATTTAAAATAATTAATGTACTGGTGCTGTAATAATAATATAAGTACATGTAACAATATTCTTAATAAAGATTATTAAAATTTTGTTGTTTTCTCAATTTCTTCCTAGTTTCTTTCAATTTTCGCGCCAGATTATTTTATAGTGGGTGGCGCCATCTATCGAGTAAAGCTAAAAGAACCCACTAAATATGTTTCCTACCATTCCTAGAATTACATAGTACCTTATTACAACTTCTCACCGGTAGATGGCGCTGGTGAAAAATTTAAGAAATAATTTATTAAGAGGGCTAAATGTCTGAAAATTTTCCAATAAAGTAATTTGTAATTTAATTGTATGTATTTCTGGTGCTGACCACATAGGGAAAGGAGAATTAATTTGGAAAAATTCCTTGAAAATTATTCAGAACTGCATGTGGTAATTGTGTGTTTGTATATACAGAGGCATTCCCAAATTTATAAGAAATATTTTTTTTATATTTTACTCAATATATTCACATAAAATTATTAAATTTTGGGATCAGGAGAACATGAAGTGATTTTAGTCAAAATATGTTCCAAAAAAATTAAATTTTGGTATCAGGAGAGCATGAAGTGCAGCAGGTGTAGAAGACAAGGACATATATATCTCTTTTCAAATATCAGGAGCGGCAAAATACCTTCTCAGCCTTCCGTTACCCTGATCGATTGATAATGCCAGAAGTCAGAACCCATGTATATAAATTCATTTAAATCTTGCTTAAAGTTGCTGGTAAATAATGAGACCAAAAAAGTGCGTATACATTTATTAAAATAATCATTCACATGTGAGTAAAATACAATAAATTTCACATCTAGGATACATGTTAGCGGAGAGAGAGAGTTGAAAATATGTTAAGGCATATCTCTGCAGTTGTGTTGTCTTGAGCGCCTAGCAGCACGATCTCATCTGTCTTCATCTTCATCTGCGACCACTTCGGCTGCAATCTGAAAGAACACAACATATTTTGGTTATCTGAACAAGTGCCGTTGAAATGATCGTCTTACCGTTGGACGGCCAGAAAAACGGCCATAATGACAGTGTCCCCGTACTGCTTCATTTTGATCTCGCTCTCGGCCCGAGCGTTCTCTACTTTCTGCGTCCTGAAACAGAGCGAATATTAACGATTGCCGCTGAATATCTTGTCTTTTCAAACTCCCCTCTTTCCTTCAGCGATGACTTCCGTCCGGTAGATTTCCGCCTCAGCAGGCAATCTCACCGTGGCGTTCAGTTCCCCTTACTTCCTCTTGACCTCCTGCTCTTCTATTTTTATTGGTTATTTCCGCTCGACCACCCTGATTTGAATCTCCTCGTTCCGAATTTTCTACCAGATCTTTGCCACTTGCAGTAAACTTACGGCAATGTTGATTTCTTCACCGAAATTAGCTTTCTGCAGTTTGAACGTCCTAGAATTGTCCTTGACTTTCGTACCAGTCGCACATAGAAAATAGAGAATATTTTTTCAAGACAATTTGTGGACCGAAATTTTAATCATAAAATAGACGATATCAGACTGATTTTTTGAATTAAGAATTCCTCTTAAGCCCCGTTTTATTTTTAATCAGATACCCAAAAATTTTCAAGTGCATTTCTAATGATTTTGTCAATAAATAATTAATAATAATAAATCTATTTTTAACATTTACCCGCAACTTGTTTAGAGGGATTAATGTCGTCAGGAACACTATTAATAATATTCTCATCGTTGGGATCTAACAAGGATGGAAGATTTCGGAATAGACTTCATATTCTCCGCATCCCATCTCAAGTTGTCTTCCCACCTGCCGTACACCAACTCATTCTCCATGGAGAAAATCAAGTACCAAGACCAAGTGTTGTCCTGCTCGTGGTCGGTGTTTCCATTTCTTCCTCACGTTCATCCAAATATTCGGCAAACTACTAGGTTTGCCCGGCTCAAACAATCTGAAGAATCTTAGTAATACCCAAAAAATATTTACTTGACGTGAGAATGACTACATTGGGGGTTGTACCTCTCCATGGCAAAAAACTGGGAACAGCTATGTTACATCCACATTAGCATATTTCGAAGGCAACAAGCCTTCACTTTCACCCTTCCTTAGTAAATACCAATTGTTTATGATGTACATATATGCATATATTGTGATGAATATAATGCATATTTATTTGTAATTTAATTATAACTACTTTTCTTGACTTATATTTGAAACAAAAAAATTTGACATTATTCGCTGTCATTTGTCAATAACACAAATTTGACGACAGCATAGACCCTTTCGATTTGGAAAAATAGTAGCTATTAGTAGCTAATAGCAACTTAGAGTTACTCTGAACTGATATTAGTTGCTAATAGGTAATATTTTTGTCAAAACGAAAGCCCCCCATGAAAGGCAAGCAGATACCCATAGACAACCTATGAAGAGACTTGAAATATTCCAGTGAACGCGAGAACTAAAAGTATTCGAGTACATTTTTAAGAATCGAGTACCACTCGATATTTTATCCGAGATCTTCCATCACTAATGAATATGATACTCTTTGAAGTATTGAACATAAGCCTTTATGTAGATGATGGGAAATACTATGACTTAACATAAAGAAGAAGAAGACGAATAGTGATTAAACTGAAAAACACATGTTGACTTTTATAAACATTTCTTTTTAAATATTAAAAAACGAATAGTTCAGTTCTTAAAAGTTATAAGACAATGCAAAATGGTTCGTCGTCACAACAATCAATTGCCTGAAAATTTACCCCAACTCCAGAACCTCATCAAAAGGGATTCCGTCTCTTACCATGAGGAATTCTTGCAACAGTATCAACATTTCCAAAACACGATAGAAGTGTTCCAGTTATCGCCGGAACAGCCCAACAAAACATTAGACGATTTAGTTATGTTTATGGCCCAAGTTGCGCAATGCTATCCGACCGAATTACAGAATTTTCCGCAACAAATAATTGACCTTCTCCGAAGACATAATACAGTCCTGGACAATAATATGCGTATGACTTTCTGTAGGGCTTTGATATTATTAAGGAACAAGAACCTTTTGGCACCTACAGACTTGTTGGAATTATTTTTCCAGTTACTTCGGTGCCAAGATAAATCTCTAAGGACGTTTTTGGAAAATCACATCGTCACCGATATAAAAAACCTAAACGCCAAACATAAAAACGCGAAACTTAATACAACTCTGCAAAATTTTATGTTTACCATGCTGAAGGATACTAATACTAGAGCTGCGAAGATGTCCGTTGATATTATGATTGAATTGTATAAGAAAAACGTTTGGAATGACGCTAAAACTGTAAATGTTATAGCAACAGGATGTTTTTCTAAGATTACAAAAGTAATGGTGGCATCTTTAAAATTTTTCCTTGGAAAAGACCCCGAAGAAAAAGATTCCGATGAATCAGACTCCGAAAACGAGGTTGATCCTAAAGAGGTCATGATGGCCAACAAGGTAAACAAGAAGACAAGGAAAAGGGAGAAAAAGTTAAGTAAAGTAAAGAAATTGGCTTCTAAGGCTTACAAGAAGAAATCAGCAGCTCCCGTATTCAATTTTTCAGCCATTCATTTGGTTCACGATCCACAAGGTAAAAACTCTCATAAACGTGTAGAAAATATCCATAAACACTTTCATTGTTTCAGGTATGGCTGAGAAATTATTCAAACAATTAGAGAGCACCAACAAACGGTTCGAAGTTAAATTAATGACATTGGACGTCATTTCCAGACTTATAGGTTTACATAACCTCTTTCTGTTCAACTACTACCCTTACATACAGAGATTCATGCAGCCTCATCAAAGGGAAGTTACCAGAATTCTCCAGTTTGTAGCCCAAGCCAGCCACGAATTGGTGCCGCCTGACGTAATCGAACCAGTTCTGAAGACCCTAGCTAATAACTTTATAACCGAACGAAATTCCTCCGACGTAATGGCCATCGGGTTAAACGCTGTCAAGGAAATCTGTGCCAGATGCCCGTTGGCGATGGACGAAGATTTATTACAAGACCTGGCTCAATATAAGTCTTATAGAGATCGATCGGTCATGATGGCGGCAAGATCTTTGATACAGCTCTTTAGGAACCTCAGGCCTGATTTGTTGCATAAGAAGGATAGAGGGCGTCCTACCGAAGCTTCGGAAGAAATAGAGAACATTCGCTATGGAAAAATCAACGCTAAAGATTACGTGCCTGGCGCTGAAGTACTTCTTGAAGATAACAAGGAAGAGTTTGAAATTAATTCAGAATCCGATTCTGACGATGAACAGTGGATAAACGTTGAACATTCAGACGACGATGTAGAGGAGAGTAGCGATGAAAATGAGGAAGAAGGTATTGAGGACGAGGAAGAGCAAGAAGAAGGGGAAGAGGCAACTGAAGAGTCGGGTGTAAAAGAAAACGGCAAAGAAATAAATAAGAAAGGAAGAAAAGTCTTAAAAGCCAAGAAGAAGTCGGAAAACTTGGAAATCAAAAAAGATTTAGCTCAGAAAGTGACGTTGGACAGGATTCTGACCGACGAAGACTTTAAACGCATTGACACGGCGAACATCAGGAAGCAGATGCAAGGTCCGAAGAAGGGACTAAAGAGGAAGGTAGAAGAGATTCCGACGACCCAACTGTCAGATCTCGTTAAACTCAGCGATATAGAGAATATCTATAAAAAGAGGAAGCACGACAAACAAACGAGGATTGAGAGTGTTAAGAAAGGACAAGAGGATAGGGAAAAATTTGGGTACAAGGATGGGAGGATGAACGAACACTGCTCGAAAACGAACAGGGAGAAGAGGAAGAAAAAGAATTTCCAGATGATCAGGCATAAAGTGAAAGGGAAGGTGAAGAGGAGCTTTAAGGATAAACAAATTGCGTTGAGAAATCATTTGTTAAAATTAAAAAAGATGAAATAAAGCTGTTTTTGTAATCTAAACATTATTATACTTAAAGTACGATAATTTTTTGGGTTATGATGTGACCTGATGCATCTGGTCAGTCAATCACTTACATTATATTTCTCAGACCTAGCTGAGAATCTTTGAGGTGCACCTGTTCTCGGGCTAAGCTCTGTAGGGGCAGACCCGCTGTCAAAAACCCTAGGCCCACTCTAACATAAGCAGAAAACATTGTTGCAGCGGAACTGTAAACATTAATTTTAATTAATAGATTTGCTTGAAGAAAAAAAAAATATCTAGTTCTGGGAAATTATACAATATGAATTTGCAAGCGTAAAGTTTAGTTATGCAATATTGTATTTATTGTATTTGATTATGATATTTCATGCCACACGTCATTGGTACAAAGTACAAGCGAAACAATTCTGTTATAGATACTAATTTTAATTAAGCTCAAAAACAATAATCTGACCCTTGATCATATTTTTAGGTTAGTCATTCTTTACGTGTGTAGTGTGTGACGAGACACGTGACACGTGTTACCATTTATTTATTATTAATTATTTAATATTTATTAAAAAATTACTAAAAAAATAAAAGTTACGTTCATAGGTTACGTTTATATACTAAACAATTTCATTTTACATTTCTCGCGCGCCTTTTTCATACTCTACTTACTTACATCAGCGCCACCTTTACGTGACAAAAATGACTGACTTTTTGTATATAACACGTAGTCTTCGTCTTCTCTTCACGTAATCACCACTTCTCTCCTTTCCTAGGTCTTTGTCTACGACTCCATAACCTATAAAAGATTAAAAAAAATGTGTACATCTCTACAAGTTTAACTCCCTGTGGTTCAACTGTTACATTATAATTCATTTAGAAATACTCTTCAAATCAAGTGAAAGATTCAAGTAAATGTGCATTAAAGCGTGATTTAAATTTTAGTAAAATTTTAGGTTATATAAATTCTTAGAAACTCGCATTGATGAAAATGAAGATGAATGTAGTAATAAATAGGCAGTTGGTGCCTATGAAAGCACATTATTTTTTGTGGAATGCAGGTAATTTCGTAAGTGGTATCTTCTATAAAAAAAACCTAATGCTTAATTTAAAAACTCAGGTACAGGTCCGGTGGTTTCATACCTGTCCTCTTACGCAAGACAGTTGGGATTTTCCAGCGTAGTGGTAGGTTTAGTATATACAATTCTTCCGATATGTGGCATGATAGCGAAACCTGTTTTCGGGGCGATAGCCGATCGGTTTCACTGCCAGAAAAAGATATTTCTCGTAGCAGAGTTGCTGACAGCCGTCGCTTTCATAGCAATTTACTATTCGCCAGAAGTCCCCACCGAACGGGTTGTGCATTTCTCCTGTAGCGATAGCGAGGCAGTTTTTAACACCTACCCAGGCAACACAATCGACGAATGTACGCTTGCCGAGATACAGTCGAAGCAGTCACTGGAGAGTTGTAGGGTAAGGCTTATGTTTCTTATTAACAGTAAATTTAATTAGAAGTTAAAATGAGAAAAGATATTTAGTAATAGACTTTTTTTCGTTGTTCGTTATTAAATTGTCAAGGTTGGTTGAAAATGCAATTTGAATTTTTTTTTTTTCATAGTGTTAGTAACATAAATTAGAATTGCAGTTATATTACACCAAATTTGATACTTTAAATCCTTAATCCACGGTAAATCCTACAATGACTTGTAGTTTAGGAGCTTTAAAATTAAACATTAAATTTTATTACCCGTTTTAATGTAATCTACGTAAATGGTTATGGAATGGAAAATGATGTCCTTGTTTATATCTAAAATTTTATAGACCTCAGGAAATTGTTTAAATAAAGTTCTATTATTACAGAAGTAATTGAAAGGCGGCAATTTTAGTCAAGTTTTATTTTTAATAAGTCTAAGTACGTAAATAGAGATGCAATGACATACTAGTTACCGGTTTTTATTTAGAGATTAATCCTTTATAATTATGTGCAATCGAGCAAATATTTTAAACATTAGGGAATGATAATTCATTAAAGATAAAAGTTTTGAGATTAAAATTTTTATTGGTTACAAATCTAGTAGATAGATATTTAAACATCGATGCACATTCTTAAACAATAACAATTAAGCGAGTAAAATGAAAAATATATTCTTTATAGGATATCTTTCGGTACAATTTAAATAACATTTACTATTATTTAAGAAAGCGTCTTGATAAGAATGTCATAAATAACTTCATTAATATCTAAATATATTACATAAACTCATATAAGTAATGACTGTGTTTGAAAGCAGTTAAGTAATATAAACAATGATGTTTGATTCTTTGAAAAAGAAAACTTATGGTTATTTTGTACTACGTAAACAATAATTTCCGTATCTTATCTAAAGCAATTATTTTTTATGAATAAGAGAATTGGCGCAGTGATAATGAATGCATGTTTTTTTTGTGAATATTTCATTTTTCATGCATTTAGGATATCGCAATTTATAATTATGCAACTCAGTAATATAATAAGTAGAAATCAAATGAACTACGTAACGTTATTATACCCTCGACAATTTCTATGAGATATATTCACTATTAAATTTTTATATTCATAGTAGAAAATGCAGCAGTTTCTAATGTATCATAATATATTTCAGCTAATTTATTTAAATTTATTTTTTTTCAAATTAATGTTGAAAAAAGGCACTTTTGCAATATTAATATTTTTACCTAATAATTAAAACAAAATCGCAACAGGCCAAACTGATTGTGAGATGTAAAATAATGTGTTTTGCTTAAAAGAATTGCAAATAAAAATATTACTGGTCTGAAAATTGGGACACACTATAAATAAAATATATTTTATGTTCTTCATGAGAGTCTAAATGAAAACATAAGGAAAATATTATCATATCATCATATTTTTAAGGTCGTTACCTTTGACCTTTAGAAACACGCCATAATTTTGTTTCCTATAATTGCGCTGTAAAAACTACTATTTTTTTTATCTTTTTTTTCTAGTAATTTTAGTCTTAGAAAAAAATAACTATGTTTTACAGCTAGATTGCGAAGCGAACGCTACTATCTGGAACACAATTTGCACAAACTGGGACGCGCAGGAGTACTGCGACCCTTCTAAACAAACGGACAGACTAACATTTACCGCACAGGTGCCGCCATCTTACACCCAAATCTTCAACGGCACGGCAATATTCCGAGTGGGGAACGTGTCCCTGCCAAACTCGGACTTTGTCAATCCTATATGCCCCAACGAGAGCATATCGACTTCGTGCAACATAGACTGTACGGATTACAACATAAACGATGTGATCGGGGTAACGGGTGTTGAAGACAACGTGGCCTACGGGTTGTACCAGTTTTGGCTGTTTCTGGCGCTCATGATAGTTGGGTGGGTGTCGCAGGCGGTTGTGGTGTCTATCGGGGACGCAATCTGCTTTGAGATGTTGGGTAGGAAAGGGTCGTAGTTTTATGTATAGCGAAACGTTAAGCTTTTTATTTGTTGTAGGTGATAAACCGAACAGATATGGATACCAACGGTTATTTGGGTCCCTGGGATGGGGTATATTGGCGTTAATAACCGGCGTGATTATCGATGCTCTTAGTCAGGGCCAGTCGCAAAAGAACTATGTCTCGGCTTTTTATATGGCAGCAGCGTTTTTAGTTTTGGATTTCTTGGTTTCCTTCAAGCTAGAGGTGAGCATAAAGGAGTACCCAGTAACGTATATTTGTAAGAAATTATAATTAAAAATAACGTGAATGTATCGTTTCTGTGTTTATTTCAGTACAGTCAGAAAAAGCTGGCGGCGAACATACTACGAGACGTCGGCCGACTTCTCGTCGACGTCCGCATAATCGTCTATTTAATCTGGTGCATTAGCGTCGGCATGTGCACTGGCCTCATCTGGCAGTTCCTGTTCTGGCTGATCGAGGACCTTGCCAAAGCCCAAGGCTGCGAAGCGATGAACACAGTAAAGACGCTGCAGGGAATCGTAGCGGCCATTCAGTGTCTGGGCGGCGAGCTGCCCTTTTTCTTCCTTTCGGGGTGGATATTGAAGAAGATCGGACACGTTCAGACCATGTCCCTCGTCCTGCTGGTTTTGGGCATAAGGATGGTGTTGTATTCCGTAATCGAGAACCCCTGGTGGATTTTGCCGGTGGAGTTCCTACACGGTTTGACTTACGGGTTGTTCTTCGCTTGTATGGCGTCTTACGCGAGTATAGTCGCTCCCCCTGGGACGGAGGCCACCATGCAGGTAAGTTTTCTTTGCAAAAAAAAATTCGGTGAAAAGTCAATGGAAATTTTAGGGGATGGTGGGGGCCGTTTTCGAGGGCCTCGGAGTGTCCTTGGGCAGTTTCTGCGCCGGCCTGGCTTACAATACCTACAAGGGTCTGACTTTTAGGTACTTTGGGTACGGATCTCTCGTCATGTTCGTCTTACATGCTGGCGTTCAGTACTTACTGAAGTTGAAAGGTAACAAATATAAAATCGAGAATAAGTAGTAAATATTTGTTTTGTTATGGAATGACTTAATGGGGTTCTAGCATTTGACATTTTTAATGATTGTAATGTTCATTCCTGAAAACGAATTGTTGGAACTTCATTATATGCAAACAGTAAGATTCAAAGGTACTTAAAGCTTGCTTAGAATATAGTTTATAACAATAATTTTAAGTTGTGATAATACTATTTTAATGTTTTCTAATTATTGATGATGGCTTCGTTTATTTTGCATTTGTATTATATCCGGGTCGAAGGACCAAAAATATATGCAGAACTCTCTTTTACCGACATAATAACATTAAATCATTATTTCAAGTTTTGATAATGAAATACAATTATGCATTTATGATAAATATTTTTGTAGCTTATACAGATTTATGATTTTTAACCAGTTTGTTGATTATATAACATGTTATTTTGGTACTAACTGTTACTAATTTACAAACAAACTATAACAATTTATTTTTTTATAATATATACCTTTTAATAAAACATATATATCGCAGTAACAACCACTTTATCAATATTTTACAGTATACCACTTTGTTTATTTTTAGAATTTATCTGCCCGATAATATTATATCTTTTTGTTCGAAACATTCTAAAATTACTACTAACTGGACCCATCTTAAGACATTATTTTTATAAATGCCTCAACGTGACCAATTTATTTTTTCATTCTAAAATTTTTCCTTTTTATATTTGACGATTCAAAACATATCCAGAAAGTAAAATCTACCTCGGGAGTTTGTCACCAGTTAAATTCTTCAATATAGGGTAATTCTTAAGTTCATAGTCATATTTTTCCACAAGGTATCTCAAAAAAAAATTTTTTCAAATATCATTTTTCAAAAAACTTAAAAATACAAAACTTACAAGTCTGTGCACGGCAGTAACAGGGATAAAAGTTATCAGTTGTGTTAATTGGCATCTTAAAAACCAAGTTTTTCCTGCAATCACATAAAAAAATCTCAAGGGTTGAGATCTGGTGATCAGGCTGGCCACACGATGGGTCCTCTATCACCTATCCACTTATTATGACGAGTTAATATGTAAAAACCTTCGCTCCTCACTCCTAAAATCTCTTGATCTTATACCACGTGTTCTCCCTGAAGTTCAGGGGTATATCTTCTAGAAGACTCGGGAGATTTCACAAAAATCGCAAATAGTTTTTCCCCTCTAACCGATCTGGCAAGATAAAAGACCCAGCAAGAATATCGCGAACAACTGCTGGGATGCGCTGGCAGTCTGACGACACTCCCCGTAAATTAATAGCATGTTAAATTGTCATAAATGTGGGTCGTTATCAAAATTCAACCAAAGAACACAAACGTACAAAATAAAAAAGTAGAAATATTCACAAAAAAGTCTGGACGTTAGGTTTCTGTACTGTTCGTTTGAATATACGGGTGATTGGCTTACTTGCTTAAATTCTTTGTAAGGCCTGGCTTTATTTTTTTTGCCTTATTTTGGAGTTACTAAAAATATTGAATTTGAAATAATTGTCGTTTTGAATAGTTCTAGGTGTTGTTAAAAAGTATAACATTATACTTACCGTAAAATGTTTGCAACTTGAGTAAATCAGGGATCAGGGTACTGCATTTTTCTGCAGTTAAAAAAAGACAACAAAATGTGGTTTATTTTACTATAAAATAATTACAAATTACATATAAAATAAGTGATTATTTGCTGGAATACGTCAGTGAATTCCTTTGCCTGTTTTTGTGTTTGTTTAGAACTACCACCGTTTTAATTTTGTCGAAATTTCGTTACCTTTTTTTCTCTTTTGCAGACGTCAAAGCAATGTACGCTCCACCAAAGGATGCCCTAGAAAAAATACAAGAGGACGACCAGCAAGAACTCACATTGGTTGACTCGTAGCAAAATAAATTTATACTTGACAATGGCAGATCTAGGTAAAATAGCAGATTACAAGGGAAACTTTTTTGGGTTTATTGATCCAGGTGAATATTTTTTGAAATAGTTTTTGGATTTTTTTTTCTCTTGGTAGTAGCATCTAGTAGCATTTGGAATAAGTAAATTGTAGGTGGATCTTACAGTTTTGAAGGATATATAAGTATTTAAATGTTTGTGGAATTATATTTTTGTATAAACGTATAAAAATAACATTGCTTAAGAACGAAGTGTCGAAAAAAAAATTTCCAACGAAAATTGTCGACTTTTGACAGGATAAATGCAGCTAAAATTTTGTCAGTTATTCCTAGGACACCCTGTGCAGTAACGATTGAGTATAGCATATAAATTTTTAGCAGTTTTGCGCGCGGGCAATATTTGGCGCCCAACGTGGGGCTTAAATTTTTTGTGTTAAAAACATTCAAAATATATACAGAAAACTGTCAACGTGCCTAATATTGTTATTTATTAAATAATTAAGCGGCTCTCTCTGAATAGCAAAATATGACACTGAAAAATGAGAAAAAAAATCAACATACCTATGTCTAATAATACAAGCAAACATATTGCCCCAACTGTGATTCTCTAGGTCTGTCGTTGCCAACTAGTAGGTAATTTCTTACAAAGCAGGTGCTTATGTTATTAAAATATTAAGTACTTATGTTGATAAAAGGCCTGCATTCTAAAGATATGGCTTAATCCAGAACAATTAAACCATATCTTTATACAATGTTGTAACTCGATTGTTCTATTATCCTTTATTTATTTAAATAATTATTTGGGCCAGACGATGCAATTGTCTCTAAATAGTATTGTGACTGTCTCACAGTTGACGCTGTAGGATTGATTCCTCGTAGATTGTGATAGTAATCGTTTTTAAGACTGTGAATATCAAAGATGGCCGAGTACACTCTCTGAGATTAGATTTGATCTGTTTGGTTTTTCAAAGATTAATTTATCTGAGAAAAAAATCCTATCTATAGTTTAAATCGAATTTTTTATTGTTATTTATTTAAATGTAAGTAATACCCGGACTTAAATTCAAAAAGTGAGAACAATCTCATTAAAAATTAACCTTTTAATTTAGACAAATACAAGAGTTATCACCGTTACTTTCATTCACACAAGCTATCACTCGGTGTATCTATAATTGTGCTTGCCGTTGGAATTGAGCATTTCCGTGAATAAATTTCATGGCATTTTTTACGAGTTCACATAATTCGTCTATTGTGTAAACTCCAAACTAAAAATCGCATGGACTACAGTCTGGCGACCTTGGAGGTAGTGAAATTTAATGAAGATTCGGAAAATGTACTCTTGGGATGGTCTTGAGACACCTAATACGGATAAAGTTGATTTTCACGTAAATTCGTATGCACTTTTTTACGAGACGCTTTGACTTGCTGGATCTTCCTCAGTGATGTGTAAAATATCTTCTACTTGCATTTTAAGGTCTTCAGGCACGTTCCTTGCAGATGTCCTGCTTCTTAAACATTTCGAACAACATAAACAAACCTACTAGTTGCGGGATGATATCGCAAATGAAACACTCGGCGTACAATAGCGATGCTACGGCAGCATTTTGACAACACTCCCCGTATACTAATATATCAATTGATTCATCACTGCTGTAAATACGTTTAAAACCCGAATCTAATCTCAGAATTTGTAACAAAGAGCGAAGTCAGTATTTTCTTACCTGTAGCGTACTAATTCTTTTTTTTTTTTAATGAGGTTGGATCCTTCTCGGATATTTTTTAGTTGATTTCTTTTCTGTTTTTGGGGGGGAAATAAATTATTAGAAAAAATATATTTGCTTATTTTGTATCCTATCCCTATCCCCCTATCAGATTTAAATTAATCGTTTTAAAAAAATGTGTTAGTTGAGGTAGAGGTTCTTTCGATATACAGGGTGTTCAAAAAGTTTGGAACCGCCCTCTATCACAGAAAATACAGCTCAAACAAAAAAATGATTAGGACAAAAGTTGCAGGGTTTTTAGTGAGCAATCCAAGGGTGACCTTGACCAAGACCTTGAAGGTCATTAAGAGGTCAAGTTGAAAATTTTAAATGGAACCGTATACTTTGACCCCGGAAAAGAAAATTTTTACGTTCAGGTATGACCTTGACCATGACCTTCAAGGTCGTTTAGAGGTCAAGCCGATTTTTAATAAATGACCCGATATTCTTCGCTCTTTTCATTTGCGGGATCAAAAGTATACCGTTCCATTTAAAATTGTCAACTTGACCTCTAAATGACCTTGAAGGTCATAGTCAAGGTCACATTCGAACATAAAATTTTCCGCTCACCATTTCCGGGGTCAAAAGTATACGGTTCCATTTAAAATTTTCAACTTGACCTGTAAATGACCTTCACAGTCATGGTCAAGGTCACCGTTGGATTGCTCACTTAAAACCCTGTAACTTCTGTCCTAATCACTTTTTTGTTTGAACAGTATTTTCTGAGTTAGAGGGGAGTTCCAAACGATTTGAACACCCTGTATGTATATGCTCTTTGACACCAACAGTTAGGTAATTGATGATATTATAGAAAACAACTACCCTGCGGACTAAAGCGCTGTCCAGCATTGACTTGCATCCGCACTATCTAGTAAACTTGTTATCTCATCTTTATTATTACTTAAAAATTATCTAAAAAATAATAAAGTCAATTTTAATAAGTAAACCATTTTGATAACCTGAGTTATAATTTAACCACATGAATGTTATATTCATACTTAGAACTCGACTTTTTTGACCGGAATAAAGAATTTACTTTTCCAATAACTACAATATTGAATACAAAACATCAAAACAATAACGAAATATTCACCGAAGTGTCACCGAATAACAGTTACTAAATATTTTACTCACAGAACATGGTGAAATTGGGTCCTTAGTCGTTAACTGCCCGACAGGTTTTTCTTGAAATTCGCTGTTATTAAATGAGAAATAAGGTGTCGGATTGCTACGATTCAGCTTTTGCTGCGTAGAAAAAAACAATAGTTTGGTTGTATAACAAGGACAGGTGGACACGGAAACAGCAAATAATCTCGGGTATCATCATTTCGTTGATGCACAAGAAACTACTCCAGTGGCGGACCTTCAATGCAGTTTTGGGAATAATGCGAAAATACCAAAACAGTAAAAATATTTCTAGAGATAAAATAGAATTACATACAAGAAAATGTAAATGATGGATTCTGCAATCAAAATACTGGGAATAATGAACATGTGTATAATGTAAGTGAAGTGTATGTTGGCACAAAAAATAATGTTTTGATGCCCACTCATTTCGCGATACATTCTTGTATCTAATAATCGATAAAAATACATATTTCACGTAAAATCGCGTCTAAAAATAAAATACTTAATTGATCCTTGCTGATTAGTCGCGTCAAAATGAATTTTATATAGGCCAAGAAATATAGAGTTGGGCGCGACTTTTTGTTTCCGCAAGCTGAATTTATCACTATAGATGCTAAATATTATGTTTCCACAGTCATAAAAATGGGGGGAAGATTGTTTACACGAGAAAACAGTAAAGTACTTTTTTTCGTCTTCAAAAGACCTACAAAACTAGCCCTCGGGCGTAAAAAAATATTGATTAGATCAAAAGTTATAAATAGAAGAAGTTTATTTATGACTTTTGAATTAAACATTTTTAAACTGCGTTATTATTACCAGAACGCTTTGGCATCGTATGAAATGTCTACCCATTACTGTTATTATGAATGACATCATTTTAATTATCAAAGATAGCGCGTAGATTTAGATAAAATATTTTTTTCCAAATTTTTTTATAGTTTTATGATGTATTTATTACTTATTTGTCATTAGAACTGGATTCATAAATGATATTGTCAAATTAATGATTAGAAATCTTCAATTTGACTAAAAATTTATTTGAACTATTTTTTAAGATTAGATCTTGGGACTATTATATAGGTTGATCGAAAAATAAAGTGCAACAAATTTATGGGTAATTCTACTCGCAAAAATAGTGTTACAGGTTTTTACGATACTTTTCTTTAAAACTTAACGAAGTTGCTTGACCTCATTTCTTTTTTTTAATAGATATTTATTTGCGTTAATTTCTTTCCAATCGAGCGATTTTTTTTTCAAATTTAGCGCATTTATGTATAACTAAATTCAATTTAAACTAAGTCGTTTACTAAAAAATTATCAAATTTCTATAGCTGTGAAGTGTTTAATGTTTGATCAGATAATACCTGATACTCATATTGATGGGAACTCATAAATTCGAAACCGGTATATGTCAGGTGGTTCGACTGACGAATGATCCTAGCTGTGTACTAGATGTTGCGTGTGTAATTCAATATTGCAAAATGTCTATTAAAAAAAACTGCTTTAAAATTATGTAGGTCCGTTTTGAGTTTTCAGGTAAATCTTATAAGAACGTGTATAGTTATTTTCACGAGCAGATTCTGCCTCTAAATTTTTTTTGCTGTATTTGACGGGGTATCTGCAGTAGGCATTGACTTTTGTAGGTCAAGTTGATCTGCGGCTACCTTTCGTGTAAATCAAACATATTTCGAGCATATGTTCGGAACTAAAACATAATTCTCGGGACCGTACCCCACAGAGAGCAACTCATCACCCCTCCCCCGTATCTGTGACTGGCCTCTTGCGCAAAGCGGGCCAAACCAAAGCCAAAGTGTAAACGCATGCCTGCCGAATGACTGTGCCGATTCAAGCAGTTTAAAAGTTAGCGGCACAGACGTTTTTGCCAAAGTTTAACCGTACCTTAATTATATGTTAATTAGTCACTCGGCGGTATTGATTCACATTTCCACTTCCAAAAGGTAGACTACTTAGCTCGACCACCATGTTCGATGACATTCGCAGGAAGGTAAGTTCGATTTTTTAAATTTTCAAACTTAAAACAACGGTTTGTGTTCCATATCTGCTGCACCTTTGCTGGACTTACTATTTTAACAGACACAATGAAACGTAATTTATTATTTACGAGAGGCGTTTGCAGTATTGCGGCAATTAAAATATTTGTTTTTAATCTTTGAAGGTTAATTAGGGACAAAGCGGATGAGACAGGTTGTTAAAAATAATTTGTGAATGGAAGGAGGGTGTGAAACTGAGAGTTTGGACAGAAATAAACGTCTTGAATCATCTGGCCAAGTGGGAGGTATAAACAAAATGCCTTCCTGTTTAATAATGCATACTTAATCGCGGTGTTTCTTTATATGCGTTTTTATAGGTCTTGACACCCACTTTCCTTTTGCATGAATTATTTTCCAACCAGGCATATTTATAATGGTTTAAGACCTGTAATAGCGATTTTTTTTGTTATTGTAATACCTACCAGATTGACGCATGACCGCGGGTAAAAGCATATACAATGTGATGTCAAATCATTCGTCACTTCTTACGTAGATAAATTTATTTTAACACTTAAACAATCACCAAAAGTAGTGACAAAAACGTGTAACAATGTAGATTCAAAATCAGAGCGATATAAATACGAAAAAAAGCAAATTATTTTGTTAATTGGCAACCAACTGGTAAAAATGGGATAATCTATTCTGATTCAGATGCTGTATACTAAGCATTTGTGTCAAGGGTCGAGATAACATAGAACCGTGTTGATCAAAACAAGTTGCTGTTTAAATATAATTGACTCAGTGACATTTGGAGAGTATATAAATAATGCTAATTTAATTAGTTCATTTACTGCTCTCTCGAACTGATTTTATCGCCAGGAGAAGCCAATACTTTCTCTTTGTTTATTATTTATTAGTCATTCACCTTAATTGTGTGTTACTTATTGTTATGTGCTTCATTTCAAAAAGCACAGACGTCGCTGAAAAAATTTTTAAAGGGCAAAAACATATAATTCATATTCATACTTATTTTTAGTCTACCCAGTATATTTTAAAATACAGAGACGGGTCCAGAGATGGATTTTTGGGGGGTTGGGGGGGTTTGACCGTTGAAATAAAAAAAAAAAGTTAAGAGATCAGGAAAATTTTTAAACAGAAGCTTTTTAATCTTTATTTTACTAAAAAAAAGATTTTGTAGTCAAGAAAACTGAGACGTTTTTGAACCAATGGGGGGGGGGAGGGCGTGTGACCGTTGATATTAAAAAAAGGGTTAAGAGATCAAGAAAACAAGGAAATTTTTAAACAGAAGCTTTTTAAGCTTTATTTTACTAAAAAATAAGATTTTGTAGCCAAGAAAACTGAGACGTTTTTGAACCAATTGGGGGAGGGGGGCGTTTGACCGTTGATAAAAAAAAGGTTAGGAAATCAAGAAAATTTAGAGAAATTTTTAAACAGAAGCTTTTTAATCTTTATTCGTACATTTTACTAAAAAAAAAGTTTTGTAGTCAAGTAAACCGAACATTTTTTAACCATTGGGAGGGGTCGTTCGCCCCCATCGCACCCCCTTGTATCCGCGCCTGCTAAAATATAACTTTATGTAAATTTCGCCATAATATTGCGGAAAACCACTACTCTGCGGTCTAATGCCCCTACCAGCATTGAATTATACCGGCAATATCTAGCAATCATTTGTCAGCCAAACCTACCGATATATGTATACCGATTTCTAACTTATTAGTCCTCATCAGCAGCATCATAGGTGGAGCAACTGACAAATGATTGATGACACATACTACGTTTCACTTATACCTACTTCGTGTTTGTAGTTACCACCTATGGCAGCTGATAAGAACTAATAAGTTCGAAGTCGGTATGTGTCCGGTGGGCTCGGTTGACAAATTATCCTAGTAGTTTACTATATTCGACGTTGGTCGGAGCATTAGTCCGCAGAGTAGTTGTTTCACGCAGTATTTAATGTGATACAATTTTTTAAATTTAGTTTGAAACCGATGGGTATGTCGTAATTGAAGGGTTCTTCTCTGAGAAGGAGGTCGAGGAAATAAAGAAAGAAGCAGAAAAATTAGTAGAAAATATGCCGGATGAATCGAATAGGACCATTTTCAGTACTACAAATTCTGAAACCCAACAGGTGAAACTTTTAATTTCTTAAAAACAGGTGTCTACAATCCTGGCACATTTTTTTTTAATATATCGCCTAATAAACGCTGTAAGAAAACAATTAAATATTTTATAAACGAAATTCATCGTTTTGTTAATTTCAGAATAAGGACAAATACTTTCTTGAAAGTGGTGATAAAATAAGTTACTTCTTTGAAGCCGAAGCTCTAGGCCCGAAAGGTGAATTGTTGGTCGAGAAACAAAACTCTCTGAACAAAATAGGACACGCACTTCACGAATTGAATCCTATTTTTCGAAAGTATACGTTAGACGAAAGGGTGAAGGAAGCAGCCTTCCAATTAGGCTTCGAAGTGCCAGTCATACCGCAGAGCATGTACATTTTCAAAAATCCTGGCACTGGCAGCGAAGGTATGAAACAAAAATAATTTTCCGCAGAATTACGAAGAAAATTAATTTTTTTCTAATAAATCGCTAACGTTCATAAAATTTTTCAGTCACAGCTCATCAAGACGCTTGGTACCTGCACACGGACCCGCTGAAATTAGCGGGATTCTGGATAGCCATAGATGACGCCACGACGGAAAACGGTTGTTTGTGGCTTGCCAGGGGTTCACACAAAAGCGGGGTTCACCGAAGGTACATCAAAAATCCCGATCCCAACTCCGAGGAACTTTTAATTTACACTTCGGCGGCACCTTTTTATTCCAAAAGCAACTTCACCGCAGTTCCCGTACGCAAAGGTAAATTAACCAAAATCCATTTAAAATTAAACTTAATAACAAAACAAATTCTATTTCCATTCCAGTATAAACTAAAAACTAACACACATATCTGGCCATTCTCGTTTCTTTGCTTTTTGCTCGTAGTGTCGTTGTTATATCTCATCAGGCGGATAGACAATACGTAGTTAGTTAATTTAAGATAATTATTAATAATTAATTTCCATGTTTCAGGAGCCTGTATCCTGTTACACGGACAGGTTGTCCATTTCAGCGAGGCGAATAAATCTCAGAAACCAAGACATGCCTACACCTTCCACATCACCGAGCAAAAAAATACTAAATACTCCAAGGAAAATTGGCTACAACCTGGGGAGAGACCGTTTCTAAGTCTGTATAAGAATTAGTGTGATCGAATAAAAAGTACGCCCCTTTTAGCTTATATAAATACTACACCTAACCGACTAGTTACCTCAAAGTTGTGTTTGGTGGAAGGGGCGGCGTACTATTACCCTGTTTAAAAAAGGCGGCATGGGAATCTTTTCGTTAATGATTTTTCTATGTGTAAGACATCGAATTAGGGAAACTTTGAGTAATACTCTGATTGTGTACGTGTATATGTATAAGCACGATTTGTATGTTTTTTACCACGGAATTTTTGAAAGCATACCAAAAAAAATGTAAAAAAATAGTTTTTTTTTCTAATCTAGATATTTGTTATAGTTAATTGTGTACAAAAGGGAAATAAAAAGATGTATTTTTCTTACTTTTTTTTTTTTTTTTGTTTCGACAATTTATTTTGGGAAAGCGGGGATTTTTTAAAATGCCGTTTCTCAAGTGTCAGTTTATTTGGTCAAATTGGAACATTTAGATGTATTAGGTACAATAATTATTAGATTTGTTACAGAGGAAATATTGGTTTTTGTCCATAATTTATTACAGATGTTAATTATTCAAAAAGTATTTATTATTGTTAACAGGATCGTCCGTTGCCCATTCGTGAAACACAGAAAAGTAGACATTTTTCTCTATATTTAAAAAAAATGTGCTTTGGTCCATTATTCACCAACACATCTATCTTTTTTTTTTGAAACGCAATTCAAATGAATTTTTTTATGTGTTATTCGTTACTGAACGAATTACAATGATCCATAGCCTGCATACGATTTTCTAGGAAGCTTTGGAAATGCTCGAAGATGATGAAAAATTAGCCAATTACACACACGATTCGTAATTAGCGAACAACCGTCAGCTTATGGAACAAGGCTTCTTTCAATGCCATCTAGATTTTTTAACTAAAACGGGAAACCTATGGAGTAGTTCAAATGTCTTATTTTAGTTGCAGATTGTTGAATGAGAAATCATTTGAAAAACAATTTTAGCAAAATGTTAAAAATCTGATGGAGTAGTTCAAACGTCTTATCACAATGTCAAGAATCTGGTGGAGTAGTTCAAATGTCTTATTTCATTATTTATAAAAAACATTAACGTGAATCACGCATCCTAAAAAAAATTAAATAGCGCCCCGATACTTAATGAACCGCACTGTATATGTGAAATATATAATTGTTTGGATTATCTTTCAAAATTTTCTGCACATAATAAAAAAATTAAAAATATAATTTAAAAAAGTTTAGAAGAAAATTACAATGATCCACAGCCTGCTACGATTTTCTTTGGAACTATTTTTCTGTCAGTTTAGCAATCTAGGAGGCCTTGGAAATGCTCGAAGATGACGAAAAATTAGCCAATTACACACACGATTCGTAATTGGCGAACAACAGTCAGCTTATGGAACAAGGCTTCTTTCAATGCCTTCTAGATTTTTAAACTAAAACGAGAAACCTAATGGAGTAGTTCAAATGTCTTATTTTAGTTGCAGATTGTTGAATGAGAAATCATTTGAATTTCTATATTTCATGGTGGAAATATCTTTTAAAAAAAATATATACTTAATACTTTTCAACGCACGTTAAAATTTAAATTTGTAGCAGATCCGTTAAATATTAATTTTGAACACCTTTTTGCTTATCAAAATATAATGTGACCATTAATGACGAAACAATTGTAGCAAGATTTTAAAAATATGAAGTAGTTCAAACGTCTCATCATTATGTCAAGAATCTGGTGGAGTAGTTCAAATGTCTTATTTCATTATTCATAAAAAAAGATTAACGTGAATCACGCATCCCAAAAAAAAATTAAATGTCCCAATTTAAAAAGTTTAGAAGAAAATTACAATGATCCACAGCCTGCTACGATTTCCTTGGAACTATTTTTCTGTCAGTTTAGCAATCTAGGAGGCTTTGGAAATGTTTTAAGATGATGAAAAATTAGCTAATTACACAAACGTTTCATAATTGGCAAACAATCGTCAGCTTATGGAAATAGGCTTTTTTCAATGCGTTCTAGATTTTTAAACTAAAACGGGAAACGTAATGGAGTAGTTCAAACGTCTTATTTCAGTTGTAGATTGTTGAACGAGAAATCATTTGCATTTCTATATTTCATGGTGGAAATATCTTTCAAAAAATATATATACTTAATAGTTTTCAACGCACGTTAAAATTTAAATTTGTAGCAGGTCCGTTAATTATTAATTTGAATACCTTTTTGTTTATCAAAATATAAACAAATTTAGCAAGATGTTAAAAATCTGACGGAGTAGTTCAAACGTCTCATCACGATGTTAAGAATCTGGTGGAGTAGTCCAAACGTCTTATTTCAGTTATCATTTCATTATTTATAAAAAAGATTACGTGAATCAGGCATCCCAAAAAAAAATTAAACGGTGTCCTGATACTTAATGGACCACGCTGTATATGTGAAATATCTAATCGTTTGGATTATCTTTCACAATTTTCCACACATAATAAATAAATGAAAAATATAATTTAAAAGGTCTAGAAGAGAAAGTGGGCACCGGAAATCCTTTGTAGGAGTTCTAATCAGTCGATGAACAATGAATTATTTGTAATATAATTGAGCACCAATATTTATCACATATGTTAGAGAACAACCTTCGAGCATGGTAAATAAAAAGTAGAATCATACGTTCCCGTTAGGCTCCGCCCGTCAGATCTGTTTTGTCACAAATTATTTTAACTAGAAAACTCAACGATTAGATGTACCATTAAAAACCTTACGGACTTTATATTTTAAACTTGCCATTATCTGATATACTGAAAAATATACATCATTTATCTCGAAAAATATCGACTATACAAACCGCTCGTGCCGTTTTTTATTTACCATGCTTCCGGGATTCACCAAATATCGAAGGTCCCTGTCGTCTCGTTAACGGTCCCTATGGCACTCTTCGGGTCGTGAGCAAAGGAGCTCCAGTCCGTCTCGGCGCAAGCGCTAACCTTCGTACCGCACACGTCACTATCGCCGACGTTCACCGCGCAAACTTTCTTGATGCCGTAGAATCTAGACACCAGATCGTCGATCCAGAGCGAGAGGGCGTGTCCTTCCCTCTTGGCGTTGGATTGACTCAGCCTCTCGAGCGCGGCCCTCTGGAAATCGTCGGGGGTGAAGTTCTCGTACATGCCTCGGAAGTCCTTCGAGCTGACGGAGCCGGCGTTTGCGTACAGGGCTTGGACCGTCTTGATGGGTTTCCCCGAGTAGGTTTCCAGCGGAATCACCAGGAACTTCACCTGAGCCAGCATGGTGCTCTTGTAGATCAGTTTCGCCTTCCAAATACCTTAAGAGAGATTTATACTTAAACTTACATAATAAAAAAAAATTAAAATAGTAAGTTTTTAAAGACACACGATTTGATTTTAAGGATTTAATTTATTTTTGGGGAATTTTCATATTGAAAATTAAAAACTTACAAAATCATTTCAATAAACAGATCAACGCATTCTGCGACAAGTAATGTAACTCACCCGGCAAAATCGGCTGTTTCAAGGCAGGCTTCACGTGTCCGGCCAAAGCAGACTCGTCTAGCGTGAAATCCGACACGTCTTGCAAGTGACCATCCGGGCTGAGCCAGAGACAAGTCAAGTTGTACACCTTCGAAGTGTGTTGCACAGCAAAACGATACACCAGTACCGGTTCGGAGAACGGAGATAAGATCTTTAAGAAATTCCTCGAGATCTGCTCCTTCTGATCGTAATCGCTGCCGACATACAAACTCCCGAGAAGATCTACGAGTGGAGATGGTTTTTTCACGGTGACGTTATTGACGTATTTCACCGCTACCTCCATATTGCTCTTCGACGACTTGAGGTAAAACAAATTATATTTGTGAGAATCATTGTGGTGGTAAGTATGGACTTGCAACAGCGAACCGATATCTAAGTCGCAAGGCGTCGAATTAGACTTGTGAAAAATCTTTACGGTTTGTCTTATAATGCTATTTCCTAAAGTTAGTAAACCGTCGTTGGGCACCACGCCTAAATCTTGGTGGTGATAGACGCTTTGCCAGTAACTGTACAGGTTCTGAACCTTCTTTGACGGCTGCTCTAATCCGTACAGCCACAGCTCCAGTTGTAATATCACAGCTTGGTTCACGATCGGTTCGAATTTCCTCGCGAAGTACAACTGTCTAGAGAGCGTGTTTTGTATCCTGGGCCAGTCTTCCGGACGAAAGTCGTTCGGACTACAACCGCACCAGTCCACTACGTGCTTGTACTGACATTTACAACCCAATTTCCTTTTCCAATTGGTGACGTGCAAGTTATTGTCGATATAAGTGTCGCAAAACTTCGAATTCCTCAGAGCGGTATGAAAAAACGATTCGGCGGGTAGTAAAGTGTGTTTGAAAATTTTTAAAAGCCCCGATATTAAGTCGTCCGGTACGGGATCCGCGACGAACTGCACGAATTTCCTCGAAAGTGCGATCCAATCGCTTCCGCCATCAACTTGCACTCCGTACGGTAGCTTACGGTCACCGATCCGCCACATACGCGTTTCACACTCGACGAAAGTCTTGTCTAAGCCCTGTTTTTGGATGAAACGTTGGACTTCCCGACCGTGAGATTTAACAAAGTTACGGTTGCGATTCGATTCGAGAAAGCGCGTCAGTTGGGCGACTGTTTTAACGGGAAAGTCCGATTCGCTCAAGTTCAGAACAAAGTCCCAGTTCCATTCCCTGATGTCGAGCAGCTCCCACATACAAGACCTCAGCATCTCCAAAAGAGACGCCCCTCCCCATATCGTTGCGAACCTCTGACGAGTGAGACGTACATTCGGCAACAGTTTTTCTAAAGCTAATAACTCCCTATATAGATAATCCTGCCTCTGAAATACATATACTCGGGATTAGAAGAGAGAGACACAGAGATAGTATATAAAAAATTACTCACAACATCGACGTGAATGTAATAGTAGTGCTCTCGGTGATACAGAATCTTAAGAAGTCTTCTGACCTGTCTTACCGCTCTCCCATTTAAAGTTAACAGGAAAACTATTTTCACTGAGCTGTTTTTACTAATACTAAGTTCAGTGTTCGCTATTTGCGGAACAAATTCTGAAAGAAAAATTGTCTTTTAACAAGTGTCTAAAAGAAAGATATCACAAGAAATTGTAATCCTATTTCGTGAATTTAAGCAAGAAAACTCACTTTTAATTCCTGTTTGATATATGTTAATAGTGTAGTAACCCCCACAAGTGGAATGCTGATCACCAGGGCATTTTAGATTACAAGATGAATCGGGAATTTTAGATGTCAACGGAGGTTCGTCCACTCCACAAAAGCATTCATTCCTAATAAGTAAAAAAAATGTATATGCAGTCATTTAATTGTCAATTCAAATTTTAACATTTTAAATTAGGTTTTAATTCTACCTCAATTATAGAAAAATTGAAGATTCGTTCCTTTCTTGGTGAAAAAGTATAAACAGATAAATATAAATTTTTCATTAATTTAAATTTTACCACACAAAGATAACAGACTATTACATATAACAGTCTTTATTTCTAAAACCATAAAAATAACAATGGCAAAGACAGTAATCTGAGAACCGGAGTGGGTTTTTATAATCCCCTAATATAGCAACTTTATTGCTTGTATTGCCAAATAAAAGTCAAGTTTATGTTTGGCAATCATAAACTGTGACGAGATAATTGGAATTTTATGGCGAAGTTGATGCTCTTATCAAACGATTATTTATAACTTGCAACAGTTTGTTCGTGAAAATAGGTACTTACGAATATTCCACTCCTGCATATGGAAATCCAGACTGAAGACAAAGCTTCATGCAAAATCTAGGAGAATTTTCATTTTTATTGACACCAAAGTAACCATTCAATAGTCTAAAATTTTTTTCGTCTTTAAAACAACCCAGTTCTTTACCAGCAACGAATCCATTCGCAGGACAAGACCCCTTCAATTCAGTCGGGTACAACTGATTTGCAAATGAAAGGCACGTAATGTTTGATATGAGTTGCTTACACCTTTGAGTCTTTGCTCGATTTATTGCTGAAACGGCCTCCTTAGTCGTAATTTGACAAGGAGGCACAAACTCTAACTCATCATATCTTAGAAAGTGTGTTTGATTGGTGGATGCATTCGGTATCTTGCTTTTGGGTGATACAGCATTACCATCCTCATCGTCAAGATTGAGTTTGCTTCTTCTTGCTGAATTAGCCTCTACTTCCTGATCTAACTCATTGTATATATTCAATGGTCTCCATTGGTTCTCTTCCGGCTCAACGGTTTTGTTCAAAGCTAAAAATCTGGCTGCGAGAAATATCTGCGAACATAGAATCACGCACCCGATGATGAAAAATGTCCTGTACCTTCGCATCCATTTGTTGTTCTTGGGGCTGCTCTTTACCATTTCACTTCTTTGGGGCAAACCATAGCTGGCTTACACATAACCTTAAATTCTATGTTGGTGTGTTACTTCATGAGTGCGGAAGAATAACGGATTAGTAAAATTATACAGAAAGTTAATTTCGCTCACATTTTGAAATTTATTGTTAGAAAAACAATTTAAATAAAACGGCTAACACAAGTAAATACTATTGACAGGTGACAACTGAGGGCACAACCTAAAAACAATAAAATCCCTAAAATTGAATTTCTTTTTCTTAAAGAAAATGTTTTGAAGGAAAGCAATCTCTTAAATTTAAGAAATTTTGTGTAAGTACTGAAATACAATTATATTTGTGTTGCCCTATTCTTATACATTTCAATATTTAGAAACAAATAGGAAACAACGGAATGAAAAGTGAAAATTTAACACTAAAATAGTTTCTCTAGATTGTTCGATTTTAAGCTGTGGCAGAACTGGAAATAAGTTGGATGTTCTGGAAATGTCAAAATTGACAAGATCATCATATTCATCAAGTTCATTGCTGCGGTTAGGTAATTTTTCATAAATTTTCAGCTATGTTATGAATCAATTCATATGATATGTCACGTCGTCCATCTCCTTTAGATAATGAACAATGTAGACAATGCTCAAGTTTCTCAGATTATGTCAAATCAACCAAAAAAAGAGTCCAACAAGAGGGATCACTAAATACAGACGACAATGTAAGTTTAATTAAAACTGATTATTGTACATTTAAAATTATACTTTGCAGAACAATGAAGGAATGAAACCAAGAAGGACTGATTGCCCCTTAGATAAAGATGAATTAGGAAATAAGTCATGGGGTTTGCTCCACACAATGGCAGCAAAGTATCCCGAAACCCCATCGAGGGAGCAACAGTGCGATATGTTGTCGTTCTTTAAAACTTTCTCCAAGTTTTATCCATGTGAACATTGTGCCAAGGATTTGAGAGAGGAGTAAGCAGAAATTATTTCAAAATATATTGTTACATTGTGTAATAATGTTCAATCTTAATTGTGCTGAAGAATAACCTATAATTTTTTTTAGTAATTACTTACCTGTTTTTCTCAAGCAACTGAAGATTTTAGGGGAACAGTATATCATCCCTTGCAATATTTATGATCAATAAGATAAGATAAATTAATCCATTTTCGTGTTTTTTAACTCGTATGTATTTCGTTATAAATTGTGTACGTTTTAGGTTAAAAATTGACCCTCCAAAAACGGAGTCGCAAGAAGCACTGAGCCAGTGGCTGTGTAGACTACACAATAAGGTGAATATCAAAACGGGTAAAGAAATTTTTGACTGTTCAAAGGTTAACGAGAGGTGGCGAGATGGATGGTTAGATGGATCATGTGATTATTAAAAATTTAAAAAAAAATCGAAAAACGAATTTTATATGAAGAAATATTTAATAAAAATAGTAGTAACATTACTAGTTGTATTATTGGTTCCGAAGCGAAATATTAATGTAATAATTTGGTGATACTAGAATGGTTTTTGAGTGATACCTCGGGTGTTTCTCAAAAATGCAAACAGAAATTTGTAAAAATAAAATACTTTGAAATTTACATTTAAAATTGGCACAAATTCATTGAATAATTAAAACGCTTGTTGGGCATACACTGCAAATGCACCCCGAGGTGTTTTTTACTGATTTATCGTCAATTTCCTGTAAATATGAAAAAAATTATAATTAATAAAAGCGAGCGAAGCTAAATAAATCACGTTATCGATGCTGCTATAAAATTAAAAATATGTATCCAACAATACAAACGCGAGAAAAAATTACTGATATCTCTCGTTTTTGGATATTTTCGACGACGAATTCAAGGGCGTGAAAACCTCGTAATCGGCAACTGTAAAGTTGTAGTCTCCCATCAAGATGGAGGGAGAAGCACCGTCCCCATCGTACGTGTGCGGCAAGTTTGAATAACTATCCATGTTGCTGTTGCAATTGCTCGATATTAGCAAATCGGCTCCAGCCCCAAAAATCGGTCCCGAACTGCAACCATCCGATTAAATATAACAAAACAGAACGTAATGCTTACTTACTCTGGATGATAGCAAATAGCGAACGGTTTCTTCACTAAATGAAACTGTGTGGGCGGTAAATCCTGGTGATTGTACAGCGTGAAGAGAAAGGCTCTCTCGGAGAGGACGTAATGACTTTTTCCTGGCGGCCTCCCCCAAGCCGCGTCGCTAAACCCTCCGCATATTTCCCCTCTCGCACCCTATAAAAATGTTTCTATTTTGCGGCAAAATTTGCAATTTCGAAGTTGTTTTCTTTCACTTTTTTTAAATAAATTACGCTGTGTTCTAATGGTGCGATAACTTCGTTTAGAGTTAAATAATACAATTTAACGAAACAACAGTTTTCTACCTACCAGAACTATAACATATGTGGGTGACACCCCGTCGCAGTATCGGTGGAAAGACGAGGCGGAATACCCATGGCTGCTTGCGCGATACACCAGTCTCCAGGTCTGTTTAGCATGACCGAACCACGCGTTCAGTAACCTCTGATAGTGGCTCTTGTCCTGGCCGAGGATTAAGGACCCCGGGAACATATGTGGAGAAATACGAGGTCTCAGCCTCTGGTCTTCCGTAGCTTCCGGGTATTTGCTGGGCAGAGCAGCGTGTCGGTATCTCTCCAAGCTCAACTCCATGGGTACCGCTCCTGTCGGTTCTACTTCTTCGGCGAATACTTGGCTGTCTAAAATATGCAAACTGAGAAAATATGATAATACGTGAAAGGGTGATTACCTATTAATAGGAGACGAACGTGACTGATAACGTAAGACAAGTGTTGACAGACCCTAGCTCGCTCTTCTTCCGTCCAGTGAGGTGTCGGTTGTGTAACACCGGCTTGATATTTTGCCCAGTTTAGAACTGCTCTCCAAACGTCTTCCTCTTCCAAGCATAACTAGAATACATTTCTACATATACCACAGCTCCTGTATACATAGTAATTATTTATAAACTAAAATTGTGTTGACATGTAACTTATTAATTATTAAGAGAAAAATGGTTTGCATTTGGTAAATGTACCGATTTAGAATGTACGTTACTTACATAATCTGAAGAAATAACTTTCATTACAGCATCTGTCGGTAAAGACAAAAATGAATTTGTTCGTACACATTCTGCTGCGTTTTCTCCAATGTAACTAACACATCTTTCTACAAAACCAGATGCTGCTTTCCCTCCTATTAGAAAAAAATATATAGCTCCTAAATCGAGAAATATGTATATACAATTTTTAGAAATCACCAGTTTGATATTTTGTAGGTAAACTGTTTTTTAGATTGAAAATGTTATCCAAAATTTTTGTATTATTTGCATAGTGTATACCGAGACTACATTTACAATAAATAAACACCATTATAATCTTGAACAGCATCATTATAAGAAAACACACTTTATAAGACATTTTTTATTATTCGCTGTAGAAAAATTACATAAAGCTAATTAACGATTTCTGCAGTGTTCTCATTTCACTGATTTTCACTTAAATTACATTGAGGTTATGAGCACTAATTTGAGTCCGGCTTTACGTTTTGTATCACTGTAATATTGTCGCCTTTAAGCATTATTCTTCCAAGAGGTCTTCTGTTCTTGGACTTCACATAATATTCTTCAGCATCATCCAGGACCAAATTCATATATTCGTCGAATCCAACAATGTGACCCTCTAAGCGTAAATGAATGTTTTCATATAACCACACCTGAACTCGGGATCTATTCTGCAGGTATCTGAAGATTAAATTGATGGGTTGTACCATCACCTTTTGCACCTTCTGTGGTTTGTATGCCATTTTTTTTAATTATTAATTAATTTTCAATTTCAACTACCAGAAACGTTTACAAACGAATAGATAATTTGACGTTTGACATTAGCTCCACAATTGCCAACTTTTAAGCGTCCCAGTATCAGCGCTGCTAATATTCATCAGTAAAGTCACTAACTTAGATAGATCTAGGGACTTCTATCTATTTCAGGCGAAAGAATTTAAATAAATTAAATATGTTTGTGTAACATACATTAAAAAAATGTAAAATATCAATTATTTATTGTTAATAGAAATAAGAACATATTAAATGCAATACGGAAATAGAAAAAAATACATGCGATGACCGGGAAACGAACCCGGATCAATTGCTTGGAAGGCAACTATGCTTACCATTACACCACCATCGCACATAGCATAAGTTTTATTAACAGGCGAATTCTGATGAGGCTGAATAATTTTATTCCTCTATTAAACTTTATTTGTTACCAAAAACAATTTATTAACATTTATTTGTTATGCAGAGTAAACGTTGTTTATATTTTTATCGGAAAATAAACACCAAGGGTATGTTTTATGCTACAGGGTGGTCAAATTATTTCTGTCAACCTACCTAGAGATTTATCTTGTATATTCATAGCAGCTGCTAAAAATGTACAAGCAGAGGGAACAGACAATGTCGATGTAACGTGATCCTCGCATGCATTTCTCAGTTCATCCACACCCAGTTCCTGAGCCAAAGCTAACATTTCAAAAACTCCATTATCTTGCAATAATATCTACAATAAAATATATGTTTGTAGACGAGCCACTTGGAAAAAATGCACAACTTTATGCATTCAGAGGATTTTTACCTTTCCAGTGTAGACGTACAGTAAAAATTGCTTGAACGTGTCCGGGGGAGCTTGGGGCAGTCTAATAGGTGTGGGGGTGCCCGGGGCAGATGGTGCCACAGAGCAACCAGGAATTCTGCACACTTCCCCCCTTTTGGCCGTTTGGAAGCTTTTACATCTGCAGTTGCGGGAGACAGTAAGATTTAATGAAATATACAAGTACAAGTTAATTTTTTTAATATTAAACAGTTTTCTACCATCCCCAGCGCCGGTTTTTTACATTTTACGTTTTTAAAGCTACATGTATCATAAAAACAAGCACGTACACAAGTACACGCTTTTAATGTGTATGCGTAAGCATAAAAAAATATGAGAGACGTAAATGTAGATAAATATATTCATTTGACAACAGATAAATCGCTATATTATATTCCTAATTTTACTTCTCGTACATTTTCTTCTTCCACAGGTGTTCCACAAGGATCTACTTTAGGACCGCTCTTATTTTTGCTTTTTTTATTAACCTAAACTAACCTTATTAATTAAACTAAACCAAATCTGATACAGTTATAGAACCTCTGGCAACGTTGATTAATATTAATATAGTGCTTTGTGCCTGCTGTATAACGATGGATTATGTAATTAATCCGGCCTTAACTTACTAATTAGCGACTTTTTTCAATCTCAACGAGGATTAACAACGCCATCTGTGCCAATTACACGATTACTTCTTTCGTAAGGCGCGTCGCAAAGACCCTCTCAACAATTGCCAACGCCGCCAAACACACGCGGATAAACAAACGAAAGACTGTAACCGAACTGCACGCACCTTTGATTAGAACATCAAAGTTGCAGATAGAGCTTTGTCCTCCGCTACTCTCCAGGTTTATTGCTTCTTCACTGTTTCTCCCGTAACGACGCTAATAATAAGGCCCCTCCACCGCTCAATGGCCCTTGTTTCTGATGTCTAATTGGATATCTTCCTAAAACAGGGCTTTGATCTTTGCTTGCGGAGCGTACCTTGCACCACGCGTTGCATTCAGGCAAGGACTCGCATGTGCAAGCCTGCAAGCCTCATACGTGAACGCCGCCCTCGAGTTGCCAGTGCCGTGCCAGAAATATTTATTTTACTAGATTTTGTCTCGTTTTGAAAAAACATCGCTGTTAATACTTGAGTAAGTCGTTAGAAATTATTAGGGAAAATATTAGTTACAAGTGCGATGGGATCACGTACACAATCAGGAGTGGTAAAATAGATGTAATTCCAAAAATTGGAATTACATCTATAGAGAAACTAGCTGAATGAATACCACACACTGCTTTAATAATAACACTTATTTAGCCTGTTGTCATTTTACTTTTTACTAAAATTTTATATATCAACGCTTGTGGCGGCACGCCACTGGACTGTTGCACGGCGCCGACCTGCACAAAAGAATAGCAATGAATGCGGCTAATGGAATCGTTTCCCGCTTTTCCTGAGTGTTCCTCGTATAAAGGGTACCCTCATATTGTTTCAAGTTTGTAATACACATCAAAAGTCGAAAAAATACATGTAATTTTCTTTTACAAGTAGCTTCCACAAAGCCTATCCTAGTTTTCTAAAGATAAAAAGTCGCCGTGTGTCTTGTGCTTGCTACTACTATGGCGAAACATTTACTTAGAAGCCTGCGTTTTGTATTGGGATATTCTTCTTAAGTTTCATATGGACTTTTTTATAAGACGAGGGGTAATCATTTATTTGACCCATTTTTTTCTGGTACTTAAAGTTTTCGTAATTTGAATGATAATTTTGGTTCATTTTTAAGTCTGTTTTCATTCAAAATACAACTCGTTAGTCATACAGGGTGAATCATCCGATAAGATGTTTAGAAAACATTTTTGTATTTGTTTGAATTATCTCATTAATATAATCAAGAAATCAAGAATACCTTGATGAACGATTTTTATTAAGGTTTATTAAAATTTAAAATAAGACAGTGCAAGATATAGAAGGCAAAGGTTGTGGGCAATCATTAAAATTCCTGACAGCAAGCAGTAAGACACATATATTCAGAGAGATCAGAGATCAAATGTAAATTTAGTTTACTCCTTTTTGTTGCAAATTAACCACGTGTCTATTTTTAGACTTGAACACTGAACACATTGAAAATTGAAGTGATTATTGATTATTGGAACATAGTGTTACGCACAGAAAGCAGAATTAAAAAATGGCAACCACGGGGGCTTTCGTTTTGGAAATATCAGTTCAGAATAGGGTCGCGAACGATACTTTGATACTGACGGGGTATCAAAGTATCGTCAAAATTTGGTATGGAATACACGGGGTATGGAAAAATGCCATGTTTCAATGATGATGAACACAGATGAAGAGGGTGAGAGAACTGCAAGGGCAATATGAATAATCGTAAAGAGCAGATTGAGGCTAGAGATAATATTTTATTTAAATACATATTGTTTTAATTGAAATTTGAGAAAATGTGTTGCTTAAACGATATTTATTGTTCACTACACATGTTCTGAAAGCTACATAAAGTATAGTCGTGCGTAGTGTTCTGTGAAATGTCCAGGTTAGAATTAAAAAAAAAATTCTCGAAAACTAGGATGGACCGTAAAATAACTCCAGATTCGTGTTCAGCATCCTCCAAAATAAAAGAGTAGGAAAATTTTTGTGACTATTTGGACATTTTCGCTATAGTAAATAGGTAATTACAATTTCTTGTTTTTTTATTAAAATTTTGTCTCTAAACATCTCTTTTTCTTACATATTTGCTTTTGTTCATGGAACAATTGATGTAAATAGAAGCGATTATTTTTAGCAACCGATATTTAGTATCGATACTTTTTATTTCGATCCGAGTAGGTATCGAAAATTGATCTCGACACCGATACCAAATATCGATACTTTTCAGCCACGAAATTTGAATAATTCTAAATTTTCCGAATTTTCACCCCCAAGAACGGCGGTGACAGCATTTTTAATATTATGGCGATGTTTCGCATAGTACTAGCTATGTCCTGTACACATTTAGTTTCGCGCAACTCGCTCGGTTTCAAAAATACAATACGTACGTTTTCAGCCACGAAATTTGAATAACTCAAAATTTTTCGAATTTTCACCCCCAAGAACGGCGGTGACAACATTTTTAATATTATGGCGATGTTTCGCATAGTACTAGCTATGTCCTGTACACATTTAGTTTCGCGCAACTCACTCGGTTTCAAAAATACAATACCTATGCACGGCAAATAAAACAACTTTATTTGCCGTGACCTATGTATGTACGTTTTCACTCGATACTTTCCTTTCGGTTCGTGTTCCCAGTTCAGAGTAACTCTAAGTTGCTATTAGCTTATTAAATTCATGCCAAATCAAAAGGCTCTCAAATTTTTATATAATACTTCAGATTCAGAGTTCAGACTTCAGATCAGATATTTAAATTTATGCTTTATTAACTTGCACCGGGACAGCGCGTACGCAGTCCCGACTACCAAAAATTACGCGCCCGAGTTATCCGCATTAGGGATAATCGCAGGGGTCAAGCCCGACCGTAGTGCAATGGAAGGGCCTCACCCTGAAGGAACCGCCTTGTTGATCACGGTAACCCCTACGCCAGGTAAGTATGCTTTGCAGTCGTCTCGACCAGATGGGTAAAGGCATGTGCCTTACCACGTAGCAGTGACTTGTAAGTGGCGCCATCTGACGATCGCTGTAGTAGGCGACATCTTGATGCGATCAATATATACTCGTCATTTAAAAAAAGTTACTTCCTCGTTGCGTGGAAGAACGCTACAGGATTTTTGACGAGTTGCCTCAATTGTTCAAATCATTATACTATACTGACTTACGAATATAGAAATTATGGCAATGTCAAATATTTGGTGAGGTGTATCTTTGTGCTTAAGTATAATTTTTAAATATATGTATATTTAAACTAAAAGCTTTAAAATAATGTGGCATAGTGTTTCTTATCGTGAAAGTTTAGAATAAATAGAAAGTAACTTTGGAGTCGCTACTGGTCTGAACAATTATAGAATCCCGTGGAATATTTGTACATCTATTAGTTTAAGGCTAATATTTTTACACCAACAACCAGTCGCCTTGCGAAAACGCAATTTCAGGGCCGAAAAAATAAATAATACTGAAAATCTCATCAAGCCAGTGGCAAATGGAAACAGCATTAGTTGCCGCGGCGGCAATTTTCAATATTAGACGGCAATTCGGGCGTAGTGTGAGCCGTATCCGAAGTGTCAATAGCTGCGAGCTACGTACAGCTAGCTCAAAAGATTAATTTCCCGTGTGATATTGGAATTTTGGGCTTCCCGGAAATCGCGATGCTAACTTTCGAGTAATACCGATGAAACCGCTGGGTGTGTGTGTTAGGTTCTATCGAAATTAGTTTTTTCGGGGACCCGGAAAAATAATGGCAAGTAGTTGTCGCACAAATCGTGTTTACAGACGATGCCGATGTTTCACTTCACAAATTACCACATTGCCCTCGATTTGTTGCTAAATTTGTAAAAAAAAACAGTAACAATAAGCAAAACGCCGATTGTTGGAATAACGGATAGTACTCACCTGGCCATCAGAATCACCCTGTGAGCGAAAACTCTCTCCTCTTCCCTACCTAGTATGAAGACGATATCAGCGGAATCGACGTCCTCCGAGAGTCGCTGGAGGTCGTCCAGGAGTCTAGGAACTCCTGCGAGGGCTTTATCTGCGGGCAGACCGGCAGTGCTCAGTCCGCCCACCCTCGACCCCATTCTGGATTTTTTCAGTATGGGGGGGCTGAAACAGACAGATAGATGTAAGTTCGATCGGACTAGACGTAAATATTTGTTCTATAACGGTGAAAACAAATATTTTTCCAGTTGGAATCAGAAACTGGAAAGGTATGAATGTGTTTCAATCCAATGTTGATATAATTTTTTTTATAAATTGCTTAACTTAACAGAATAAAATTTATGTTAATCTTTTAATGTAACCACACCAATTAAGGCAAAAATCTGACTTGTCTATCGAAATTAAAACTATCGTCCAAAATAAATTGTAACACGCTGTATATTGTTTTCGTCTAATTTAATAGTTTTATTATTTCATATAGTTATATTCAACAGTTCATATTCGTTGTGTTTAGTGTCTAAACACTGCTTTTATCCCAATCATTGAATCATGCATGTATAATCATTTACACCTCCCATATTATGAATCGAGATTATGCAACACAAACAATCTTACTGACCCACTATTCTTTCTTTGAATAATTGTGTAAATCCCTGATCATAGGTTGCCTTGAAACAAACGCGGAGCCGCGCAAACATCTGCGCAACGCACAGCCTTAAAAAACGCCGCTATGTTGCTGTAACAATCAACAAATCGGCGTGAATCGTAATATAGATAAAACAATAACATACCAGTCGAAATTCTTGTTCCCACTAATTTTAGTTCCTGTTTTTTGACTCTGTATAAAGGATTCGGTCGCACAGCAACCACACCAACACGCACTTTAATAGTTGAAAAGAATTAATGTCGGCCTAGCTCACTTGACAGCTCGGAAATAGTAAACAAAGGAGGAAAGCTGGTCAATTTCAACCGGAGTGAGTTCTGGCCAGGTAAAATCTTAAGATTATGGAGGCATACCATCAGGTTTACTGCCCTCGACTCGGTGTTGCCAAATGTTGACCTCTGCGTTCTTCGTCTTTATTACCGGTCTGGTGAGGCGGATTTTATAGCTCAGAGGTCAGAAAATTATGCGGGAGCTTTTTCACATAAATAACAGTAGCATGGAATTTTATATTTTGATTAAATTCACAAACTACTATTGTTTTAAAATTTGTTAAATTATTTCCGTAATTTCGTCTCTGCTGAATTCTTTTGTAACAGAAATTTAGTCAAAATTGGTAATCCAATAAACATATACATGTATAAGTTACTTTTTATATTTCTTTAAAATATTAAAAGAATACTTTGGTTTTTGACAAATAGAACAACGCATAAAAGAAAACGAAAGAAAAGAGCCTCCGTGGCGCAATTGGCTAGCGCGTTCGGCTGTTAACCGAAAGGTTGGTGGTTCGAGCCCACCCGGGGGCGCAACTTTTTTTTTACATTTTGAAGAAAACTTGTATTTATCAGGAAGAAAAATACATAAGAATACTAAAAATTGTATTTTAGTTGACGTGATAATCAGTTTGTTGTTTTAATTGCGCCACTAATAATCGAAATAATAAGCGCTACTTATTGGAAATTAGTTTTTTCATATAAACTGTTATTTTCAAAATTAAAATTATTGTTTCAATCATTGAAATGTAAAAAAAAAATTAAAAAAGTTCTCACCGTGACAATGATTGCACATTGCCGTGACCAGGATTCGAACCTGGGTTACTACGGCCACAACGTAGGGTCCTAACCACTAGACGATCACGGCTACCGAGAACATGTGTAAGGTAGCTCTACCATCCATATTAAACCACAACATTGTACAAATTTACGAGTTATATCTTCATATTATAATCAAAGATATAATCATATAATTACTTCGATCACGCACATTCAATAGAATTGTTATCAAACCAGGTTTAGGTGAATTCATAAAAAAGACGAGGGATTCAATTTACAACCGTGTTTAATGGGTTGCCTAACTTCAGGCGTAATTATTACGTATACTTCGCTTCAATGCTATTTTGAGTAGATGTTTGTTGAATGTAAAATAAATCTAAATCAATGTTTCTCTTCATTTCTTTAGCCATTTACAAGAAAAATACATTTTCCCTTCCACAAAGAGTGCTCTGTAAACATAAATTTCCCGGTACGAGCACACTAGATCCGCAAATGTATCCGATATCGCCCAGCTTTGTTCCGCAAAACGCCGACAACGCCTTGGACTGCGTTTCCAACAATACTCGTCGGACATGATATTGACAGCTCCTGTTAGAGCGACACGAGCTAAATGTATCGCCGGAAATGACGTACTGTAAATAAGTGTCCATCGTGTCATATTTCCACGGAGCGGGCGGGAGCTTTGTTCGATTCGATTAAACTGTCATAGTCCGGAGTGAAACACTTATCTTGATTTTCCCTGAAAGGGACGGTTTCCTCCGCGGCACCTTGCTGAAATGGATGTTAAGAGGAAGACGGTTCGCAATTTATTTCGCCTCTGCAAACACTCGGGGAGGCTTCTTTGAAATCGCATTTTCCGTATGACGCCTGTCGGTGGGGCGTGTCGAGAAATGCAATAAGTCCCTGGTAGTTGGCGTAGCAACAGTTTGTCTGCGGGAGGGGTGGGAGGTTACTTGTTATCGTCTAAATGGCAACAAATGTCTGGTTTGAACACCATAAAATGGTTAAATATAGGCTTACTATCAGTTTTACTAAGATCAAAAAATTTTGTCAATATTCGCCTGGGCTCGCAAAACGCTCTCTGACGTCACTATGCGGAATGGACTAGCGTGAGAGAATAAGTGGTTACCATTGAGTCTTTCCTTCTGTACTTTATTTAATTTTAATTAAGGTAAGGGAACATCTAAAATGGAAAAAGGTTTTCGAAATGTAATCTCACATAATTTGCCAACTATAGACGTTACTGTGGCGTTATAATGTTTGCAAGTATATCGTTGTATATTGTAAGGTTTTGCTTAAAGTCTGTTTTTGGTTTAAGGAGCACGAAACATTTTTTTTTTTTTCACTCAACACTCTCGTACCGATTTGAGAACCCAGTACAAACTTCTTTATTAAGAAATCGACCCGATAAGAGGTTTCAATTATGCAAACAATGCTAATGTTCGTCCAAAACTTTACTCACACTAGCTCCGCAGTAATTTCGTTCACCAGTTCATTAATTTAACAATTTAGAGCATTTACTTTCGCATTTGCCTCGGGAATTACATTCGCAAGAAGAATGCGTTTCAATTAAGGTCGAATTATACTCAGGAACTCGAATTAAACAACAATTTATTGAGCGAAATAAACTCCGTCTCGGCCACATATTCATTCTCATTAAGAAGTTGTCGAGACGCCTTGAGCGGCGCTTTGCTGTCAGTGACACGCTTTCATTCAGCCGAGAGGACGTCTTAAGTGGCGAAGATTTTTATATTATATCTCTAATTCTGTGTTACATCCCCTTGAAGTAAAGTGGTTGAAAAATACTGATTCATTTAAAAAGGCTCGTTGTGAAAAGCGTAGACAATCTTTACTTTAATCTTTTTTTATACTTTTATTCAAAATAAACATATTTTTATTTTATTTTGTTATTATTATTCCAACAAGAACAAACACAATTACACACGAGGTTTAGAATAAAGTACATTAATACAAAGAAGTAAATATACATTGGTAAAAGCGATAAAGCAGCTGAAAGATTTGTAGAAGATTCTCTTCAACAGAAAATCTAAATTGGGACTACTTGTTCTGCGGATATAGTATCAAATTTTGATACTTAATATTTAATATTAACATAATGATGTTTCACAAAAAAAATGAGCCACCTTTTGCTAGTTTTGGTAGTGGATTGGGTTCACATTGCAACTTTCCATTTTAATATAAATAATAATAAATAGTTAACTGTTTTAATGTCGTTTTCTTTATTTAAATTATAATAAAACTTTTACAAAACTGCAACTGCAACAAAAAATATTCTTCAATCTCTTGAAGTTGATAAATTCTAGCAAATATATTGAGTGAACAAGACTATAGACATACTGGGTGACTTATTATACCTGGCAATATTTGGAACGTAAATTAGTCTTCTTAGAGGTTTTAATAATACACGTATTATGATAAAAAATGAAAATTACACAAGCAAAAGCGTATTTTCGATATATTCAGTACATTACGACACATCTTGTACACAAATCTGTTTCATTAATGCACGGCTTATCTCCTTCATATGTTATATCTTATTACCATGACAAAATCGCCTCTCTCAATCTTCCACATCGAACGCAGCAATCTTATTAAGGCTCCATTCAAAGTAAAGTACCACGAGTGCACTTTCAAAGTCCCTGCTTACCCGTCTCATAAGGTAAAAACGTGTTTACCTCATCAGAATTTTCTCTACACTTGTTTGCTTTATGTGAATAGAATATAAATTTGTTGCTTGCGCAAATACTCGGGATTTAATTCGAAATTTCTACGGCGAAAATGAGTTCTCGGTCCAATATTTGTCGTCAAAGTGAAGAAATTATGTTTGGTTGCCTTCGTGTGGTTTAAAAACGAAATTAGATTTTGTAAAGTGGTATTAATCTTTAAACAATACACTTGTTAGTTTTTTAAAGGCCATCTAGCGGTGAATTAGAGTGAAAATAGTTTTTGTCCACCTTAGTCAAAATTGAAATTTTTATCTTAATGCACTGCTTTCTTATTTGGACACCCAGTACATATCTCGCATGAGAATTATGTTATCAGAACTCATCTCATAAAATTCATCCGATAAAATCTCGGTCCAGATAGAACACAGCGTGTCCTTCTTAGCAAGTAGCTCTAGGGAAAGCCTGTCGAGTCTTATTACTTTTCTGCACGTGCCAACACCCTCAAGACGGCTGAATAAAGTTTGCTCTATGACTAACACCGTAATAGTGCGTGAGGGGTGGTCAGTTGAAAACATGTAATTTAGTGAAGCTTCATCACATGATGCATATCCGCGCCTTATACTATGCATACACAGTAATGGCTGACGCTGTTCTGCTCTACACGTTCCATTGACTGTTTGAACGGTTGCAATAATTAATTTTGTAAGTAAGTGTTTGTGTTTAGAATTAAATGATTCGTTCTAAGGGGAGTAGGATTCACTGAATAGCCTGCCAGGTATTCTAACCTATATCCATTTAATTTTTTTCCTATGGCAATATTTAAAAAGTCTTTTTTGCTTTCTTTTCTCTACCCAACTAGATTCCTCGAATTTGAACATCCATTTTCAAATTTAATAAAATAAATATGTATCTTAAAAACTTGGCAATCTTTAGATCTTTATATTGTTAACGCAAATAAGTTTTAAAATGGCGTATAACATGCTAAATTATTATGGTGGGGTTGGTCTCTTTTTATTGGATCACACTGTATATCCAGAGAATGAAGAGGACTTATTTTTATTTGTCTAAAACAATATAGACGTATCTCATGTTTCCATATTTGACAAAAAGCAGTTCATAAAGCTGACGAAACTCGACGCCCCGCATTGAAAATGGACAGTTGGTGTGAATCATAATTCGTGTTTAATGTAAATAAATACATGTGGGAGGCGACACATTGGTCCATTAGAGTACATATCGAATTCGGCGGAAAGTAACATATGTTTTGTAAACTGTTATGCACGGATTCTGAGTGGACGAAAGCTCTTTCCTGTTGTAACATTACTCTTAACATCAGTTCCGCTGACCAGCTAGATGTACGTGGTACTTAGCGGATTGTGTTGCTTGTTGACCATGGTTCATGGACACATTTTAGTAAAGGTCATAATACATTTTATGTAGTGAATTGATTTTTAAATATTAGAAAGAAGATTTTTACTAAAAACACTGTTAAAAAAATTCTTACGCCTATTTGA